TTTAAATCGAGGGTTTGAGCAACACCATTTATTTTTTTAAAGATGAGATTTCTGATAAATAATATAGATAAAAAGTGTTGCTTGAGACTAATTTGCCATAAAATTATCTTAATCTTTTTCTTAGATTGATATTTAAAAATACATTTTATTCTACATTTTAATAATATTATCATTAAATCAAGTTCAATTTATCATATGATATTACATTGTGATTTACATGATTCTTGTTAATTTTTAATTAGAAACTTTGCATATATACATATATACAGGGTTGGGCAGTATCGCGGATATTTGTATCTAAGATACAAGATACATCTTTTTTAAAATTTTGGAAAGTATCTTGTATCCAGTATCTAAGATACATATTATTTAAACGTATTTGTATCTTAACCAACTTTGTATTCAAAAAGATACAGATACTTTAAAAAAAATTTATATTGGTTAATTTAAATAGTATTAAAATTTAAAATGATATTGTTTTAAGATTTAAATGAAAAATTTAATCAAGATTTAGATATTTTAAGATAATTTTTGATATATGACGTTGGTCGTCATATAGCAATTTGCTAACAATTAGAACTACCATATTTGAATCGTTTTATATCTGTCTATTTTAAAATTATGGAAGAAAAAAATAGAATAATATATTTATCTTCGTCTTCAGATGATTCTTCAACCGAAAATTATAACAATAAATTTAAACTAAGCATACTTAATGGCAAATTTTTTGAAGTACTTCAAGATGATCATAATAAAGAAACTCATCGTGACTTCGGTATTGACGAAAAAGTTATAGCAATTGTTACAGATAACGGCTCTAACTTTAAGAAAGCTTTAAAGGAGTTTAGATATTCTATGGGCTGTAGAGAATGACTTTGACATCGATGATGATGAATGTATAGAATTCGAAATCATTGAAAGTATTATTTAATACTTCTTTAAAATTTATTATGATATTGTAAATTTTGTAAAAAATTTTATTCAAATAAAATTATTTATTTGTTTATTTAAGGGTCTAAAGAAGCCTCAATAACATTGCCTCAACACATTCATTGTTTGTGCCATACGATAAAATTGCCACAACAGATGTCGAGAGAGTTATTAAGGATTCTCCTAACATTTCTAAAATTCATCATCCTGCAATAGCTAAATGTACTAAGCTATGGAATGCAAATAATAGGCCTAAAACTGCAGAACTTATCAAAGCAGTTTTAGGAAAACAATTAGTTACACCTTGTTGCACTAGATGGAATAGTTTGTATGATAGTCTTCATAGTTTATTAAAATTTAAAGGCGAACTTCCTAAATTATGTCAAAAATTAGAATTTCCTAAATTAAGAGATATTGAAATTCAATATTTAGAAGAATATTGCAATATAATGGCCCCATTGGCTATAGCGATTGACAAAATACAAAGTGAAATCAACTGCTATTATGGAGAATCAGCTCAAATTTTAAATGTCGTTAAAAAAAAATTACAAATTTAATTCAAACCAATCTACAATTTTGCAAACCATTAGCTGTTGCCATAGAAAATTATTTAAATAAAAGATTTAAAAGTATATATGATTTTGATAACAATGTTAAAAGTGCATTTTTGGCAACTATTTCTCATCCCTTTTTTAAAAATCATTGGATTGATGGTGAAAAAGAAAAAAAATACCTTCAGGATTTGTTATTACATGAAGTTTTAATTGTTTTTAAAAATAATATTGAAATTAATACTTCAACAAAATCTTCAATTGATGAAGATGATGATTACTTTTGCCTTAAAAGTACCACATCCAATTCTAATAATTCAATAAATGATATTGAAATAGAGGTACTAAATTATATGAAAGATGACATGCGGAGTATAAATATGTTAAATAGTTATAATTATATAAAAGAAATATTTATTAAATATAACACAATATTACCCTCCTCAGCCCCCGTTGAAAGATTATTTAGCTTTGCTAATATGGTTAATAGACCAAATCGTCAAAGATTGAACGATAAATCATTTGAAAAATAATAATATTAAAAAATAATGCTGATTTATGATGCTGATTTATTATTATTTACTAATTATATAATTATTAAATGGAATATCGCATTATCTTTTATAATAAATTTGTTATTTTCTACAATTTATTTTAAATATTTTTTTATAAATTTATATTATAGATAAGAAATAAAGCTTTATACATTTTGATTTTGACTATTTAAAGTTTTTTAAAAAAGTATCTTGTATCTTAGATACTTTTTTCAAAAAAAATACAGCTCCGTGAAGTTGGCCGAACGATTGGAAGCACTAACGATGAATCATATGTCATTTTTTAGTGCTTGTTAGTGCTTCAATCCGTATAGTAGCCGAATTTAAGGAAAAAAAGTTATAGGCAAAAATAAAAATTTGTGCCAATTCACGCTTAAGAGTCGATTGGAAGCACTAACAATGAAACTTATATCATTCTTTAGTGCTTTGTTAGTAGAGGTTAGTTTGTGCCAACTTCACGCTTAAAAATCGATTGGAAGCACTAACGATGAAACTTATATCATTCTTTAGTGCTTCGTTAGTAGAGGTTAGTGCTTCAATCCATTTTGTAGCTGAATTTATGAATAAAAAGTTATTCACGAAAAAAACAAAAATAAACAAATATTGGCGACGTGCCAAAACAAAAACTAGAGTAGTACTTAACATCCGGTTTTCGCCATTATTTAGTGCTTAATTAGTGTATTTAAATTCCGTTATTAATTTACTTAACCGCTTTATAAAAAAAAAGTTATAAGCTAAATAAAAACTATGACGTCACGATTTAGACGTGAAGTTGGCCGAACTTTTGGAAGCACTAACGATGAAACTTATATCATTCTTTAGTGCTTCGTTAGTATAGGTTAGTGCTTCAATCAGTTCCGTAGCCGAATTTAAGAATAAAAAGTTATTCACGAAAAAAACAAAATAAACAAATAATGGGGACGTGCCAAAACAAAAACTATAATAGTACTAAACATCCGGTTTTCGCCATTATTTAGTGCTTATTTAGTATATTTAAATTCCGTAATTTATTTTATTAACCGTCATATGAAAAAATTGTAACACGCTAAAGAAATTTTTAGAGGTCAAATTTCGGCTAGAAAATTATGAAAGCACTAACGATGAAACATGTATCATTTTTTAGTGCTTCGTTAGTGCTTGTTAGTGCTTCAATCCGTATAGTAGCCGAATTTAAGAAAAAAAAGTTATAAGCAAAAATAAAAATTTGTGCCAACTTCACGCTTAAAAGTCGATTGGAAGCACTAACGATGAAACTTATATCATTCTTTAGTGCTTCGTTAGTAGAGGTTAGTGCTTCAATCCATTTTGTAGCCGAATTTAAGAATAAAAAGTTATTCACGAAAAAAACAAAAATAAACAAATAATGGCGACGTGCCAAAACAAAAACTATAGGAGTTCTAAACATCCGGTTTTCGCCAGTATTTAGTGCTTAATTAGTGTATTTAAATTCCGTTATTAATTTACTTAACCGCCTTATAAAAAAAGTTATAACTAAATAAAAACTATGACGTCATGATTTAGGCGTGAAGTTGGCCAAACATTTGGAAGCACTAACGATGAAACTTATATCATTCTTTAGTGCTTCGTTAGTAGAGGTTAGTGCTTCAATCAGTTCCGTAGCCGAATTTAAGAATAAAAAGTTATTCACGAAATAAACAAAAATAAACAAATAATGGCGACGTGCCAAAACAAAAACTATAGGAGTACTAAACATCCGGTTTTCGCCATTATTTAGTGCTTAATTAGTATATTTATATTCCGTAATTTATTTATTAACCGTTATATGAAAAAATTGTAACACGCAAAAGAAATTTTTAGAGGTCAAATTTCGGCTAGAAAATTATGAAAGCACTAACGATGAAACATATATCATTCTTTAGTGCTTCGTTAGTAGAGGTTAGTGCTTCAATTTTTGTAGCCGAATTTAAGAATAAAAAGTTATTATCAAAATAAACAAAATACAAATTGTTCCTTTTACAAATTTTTATTTTATTCGAAAAAATTTTAATATTTTTATCAAAAATTTCAGTTATATTTAGATCTCATTATTCATAATATAATTATGCAGGAATTCAGTTACCCTGATTCAATATAGCAGTGCCATATCAATACTTAATAGCAACAACCCAATAAAAAAAATTTAGTTTACAAATCCCAAACCAATTAATAAAATATCTTTTTTTTTAAATTTAGAAAATATAAATTTAAAATTTTTTTTTCTTCAAATATAGTTGAATATTTTATTTTGTGTATATAATAATCTATAATGACAAGTAAAAACACAATACATATAATAATAATTATAACATACATAATGTTAATTTTGTGAGAAAATATTATATTTTAAAATTGTATTCTCGTTTTAGTTTTGAGTATAAGTGTTCGGAAATTGGCATCTTTTATTTTTATATAAATAGAGAAAAGATAAAAATATATTTAAATTAATAGGTATAAATTTATATTAACTTTAATGGACAACCAAGTTCCAAAAAATCATGCATATGATTATAAAAGTTTGTAAAATTGTACGTATGTACCGATTTAATATCGAAGCAGTGGCGTATCAAGGATTTTCCTATAGGGGGGGAATTTTTTCCTAATCTCCCTTAGCTGTACCTAGGCCAGCTTTCCCCCGGCCTTCGGTTTATTATTAAATGATTTATAATTGTTTTACCTTTTTATTTATAATTTAAAGCCAAATTAAGTTATTATTGTTAGATGAGAGTTTTTAATACCGACCTTATTTACCCCATTAACTAATCATATTCACTCCCCATATTTATTACACTTTTGATATAGATTTCGTATTTCAATTTTTTTAGAAAATTCACGAAATAAAAAAAAGAACACAAATAAATATTCTTAAATATAATTTAAATGGTATTTACAATTTTTATTCTATTACTAAAATAATTAACCACACATGTGATTAATTAATCTAATCTATTATAAATATTTTATAATTTTTTTTACTGCCATTAAAATAATTTAAAAAAAATTTGTATTCTGAAATGTAACAAGTAAATTTATAAAATTTTGTTAATTATTATATAATGTTTTTTATTCATTTAATGACCATCAAGCCAATCGGCATTTAATAAAGAAATGATTTAAAATAATCTTCCGTAATTTTTATATATTTAGGATGGTAGGGAAGGTAACATCTTGTAAATAATGGGGATAAATATATGGTGGGGAATCAGGCATAGCAATATCTTAAAAAATGATTAGGAAAAAAAATTACAAGGTTTACCTCGAGAAATAATTGTTAGAGAAATATTTTAAATTTTAATATGTAGCTTAATAATAGTTCTTTAATATGACATACAAAGTAAAAATCGAAATCCCCGCAAATTCTTAATGTTTTATCAAATAAATATGATATAAATTGAGAACTGCTTATTGATATTGGGCAAGCTTTGATCACACGCTTATTCCTTTTATTTTATTAATAATTTTTTTTTAATTAACATTTTTAATTTATAATAATCGACAATTCCAAAAATATTTTCAATATACAAACATGAAATTAATAATAACAAGGTTTAAAAAAAAATCATAATCATTACTTCTAATCCTTTCCCAAAGGATGATCGGAATTTTTATTTTTATCATCGCTCTGCCCTAGCATGAGCTCTTCCATTCTTTGGACTTCCGATGATGTCCTTGAATGAGCTTGCTGTCTTATCCCACTTGTCGAGGCTTTATCACCTGTTTCCGACAAAGGAATCCTGATTGTGTTAGCCACCGACTCTTTTGGTAATCCCGCGAGGGCATCATCGGTTCTCCTAAATCTTCTTCTTGGTAAAGATCCATTTTCCCGACTTCCCCTCTAATTCCATTTATTTTTTAAAATTAGAGCGCATTGTAAACAATGCCAGGCTATATTAAGGATGAATTTAATTAGTTCAATACAAGATAAACTTTGTAAAAAAATAATTTGCTATATATTTAATTATAAATCACATATGCATACTCTTGTTTTAAAGAGACCATTAAGTGGTTTGAAAAGAAAGGAAATAGGCAATGAATTAGAAAAAGAATTTGCCTCTAATTGGCGGGTTGAAAAGGCCAACCAATCTATGGAATTTGGCCAGGTAGAACCATCTACACTTTATTCTTTAAATGTTTTAAGAAAGTGTAAGCAAACTTTTAAAAATAATAATGATTTTGATCTGAAAATGGATGATAGTATTAATACACTATTAATTTAAAAAAATACCGAACCCTATATTTCAACCATTATTAATATAGGATCTGATAAATTTTATATGCATTATTGGTTGCCAGATCAAATGTGTATATATAATAAATATTGGCAGAATACTGATGTATCGATACTTCAAATTGATGCTACAGGCTCCCTGGTTACAAAAATCAATAGGCCGTATAATCAAAAATCAGGCCATATTTTTTTATATGCGGGAGTAATCGGAATAAAATTAAAATGTGGTCAAATACCTGTTGTGCAAATGCTCTCTGAGGCCCACGATATTAATCACATTTCACTTTGGTTAAATGTATGGATACAAAGTGGTGCAAAAATCCCCAAAATAGTTGTAACCGATCATTCTTTAACTTTACTAGGCGGCGTAGCTAGATCTTTAGCAAATTTTATAGATCTGAAGGCTTATATTGAATATTCATTTAATATAGTAATGGGACAAAAATTAAACATGCCCAAGATTCATATTAGAGTTGATTATGCCCACTGTATTAAATTAATAAGCAGATGGCAGGGTTTATATAAAAAACCCCGTTTGTTTAGAGTTTTATTTACGCACAATGGCTATGTTAATTAAATGTGGCTTGCAACAGGCAGAAATGATAATTGAGTCTTTATAATCACATGCACTAGCGAATTTAGCGGGACTGAAATATGTCCCGATAATTGTTGGAATGCTAAAAAATACCTAAAACTTATTATATCTGGACTTGAGAAAATTGAAACAGATATTTATGATGAAGTCGATGATATTGAGACAATTAATTTAAATATAACCAGTAATCTCTATCATTGGATAGAAAATTTGAAAAATAGGGCCAAATCTAAGTGTGGAATATTTGTTAAAGAAGAAAACTATTTTTATTGCCCAGATATAATGATACATTTATGCAATTTTTTGAGGACATATCCCTTATGGTCTAACATTATGCAAGCACATTATAAATATGGGCAACCTACTGCCTCTACGACTAATGTTGAAAGTTATTTCAACAACTTAAAAAATAGAACCTTAAAATCTGAAACATTACCATTACGTTTGGATAAGTTTTTAGAAATAAAAGGTATGATTACACTAGCGGAAGCTGCTAGAATTACAAATTTAATTAAAGAAGAAAATAGTGATTTAGATATCGTACAACAATCAGAATTTAAAATTAACGAGTTAATTAAGGAGGAAAAGATTGAAAAAATAGATATCAAATCACAAGAGACCTCTGATTTGAAAATGCAGAAATTTAAAATTAATGAAGTTTTGATTGACGATGAAGATTCAATTAATGAAAATCTAATACTTGAAAACTGGAAAGGGTTGGCGGATAAGCCTGTAGCAAGAAAAAAACGTTCCTATTATGGGGCTCACTGTCCTGAAATTTTGCACTTAATAGAAGGCAAAAAAATTAAATTGAGATTATTAAAAAATGGAAATCTTTTTACAATGGCACATCCTTTAAAAATTTGGGACAAAACAGTTTTTAATAGGTAATACATGTGCTATTGATGCATTTTCTCAAGGGGTGGTGGTGGCCTGCTGCGATAGCAAATTTTATTTCTCATATTTTGATAAAATAATAAATAACGCTTTTCAGCATTTTATTAAATATTTAATATCACATGGAATTAATAAAACAACATATATAATGAGAGCTGAATTAGCGATGACAATGTTCCCCAAGATTTCAGTTACTAATACTAATGATTTATATCGTTTGTCATGTGAGGCAACTATTTTTTATGTGATCGACAAATGTTTTAAAAATATATATAGTATGACGGATAAATTTAAATGCACTAAAATGGCTTATATATACCAATTAATATAAACATTATAAATACAACAGGTATCCAAAACTTGGCAGCTGCAATTGAAGACACCTTGCCTGCCCAATCCTTTTGTAAATCTTGCAAGAATTTGAACCTTGTGCATGAGTACGAATTTCATGAACAAATCATTATTGAAACAACAGGATGTGAAATGTTTAAATTAAATGATTTCCCGATATTTATAAATCTGGATGTTAAAACATATTTTTTAAGAGCAGCAATTATTTTTATACCACCTGCTGTGTCCACAGGGATAGGACATTATATATGTTATTCAAAACGAATAGATGGAACTTGGGAAGTTTATAATGACCTTTTAAAATCCATGGTATGCAAAAGAAATGACATCCAAGAAGATGTGATATGTCATGCCTTATTATATACAATATAAAGAAAGAAAATTTTCGAAAAAGGATTAAAATATATGATGAGTGAATCAGACATGTATTTTTATATTGATTAGCTATGGTTCATCAATTTAATATAAAATGAATGTATCGGAAATGTATTTTTACATTGATTCGCTATGATTCATGAATTTAATTAAAAATTTGATGAGTGAATCGGAAATGTATCTTATTTTTGATTAGATATGATCAATGAAAATTTGATAAATGTGTCGGAAATGTATCTTATATTTGATACGATATGATTACGAAAATTTAATAAATTTTTATGAATGTATCGGAAATGTATTTTTACATTGATTCGCTATGATTCATCAATTTAATTAAAAATTTGATGAGTGAATCGGAAATGTATCTTATTTTTGATACGATATATTACTGAAAATTTAATAAAATTTGATGAATGTGTCGGAAATGTATCTTATATTTGATACGATATGATTACTGAATTTTTAAATAAATTTGATGAATGTATCGGAAATGTATTTTTACATTGATTCGCTATGATTCATCAATTTAATTAAAAATTTGATGAGTGAATCGGAAATGTATCTTATTTTTGATACGATATGATCACTGAAAATTTAATAATATTTGAGTAATGTATCAGAAATGTATATTTACATTGATTCGCTATGAATACTCCATCTAATTAAAAATTTGATGTGTGAATCTGCAATGTGCCAATGTTTTATTGCGCTTCTAAGTGATTTGACAATTATAAACTCCAAGGAGACCCAATGTGCCTACAAATGTGAGTTGCTTGAAAATATAACCATCAATTCGTAAAGTATAAAATATTAATTTTTTTTAAAGTTCTGTTTTCATACCTTTGTCCCTTTTTTTTATTTCTTCCTTTTTTTAGTCAATCTTATTTTCCCCTCTCTCCCTTAAATTCTAACTCCCACCATCACGGGGTGGGAGTGAATATGATTAGTTAATGGGGTAAATAAGGTAGGTATTAAAAACACTCATCTTACTATAATAACTTATTTTGGCTTTAAATAATAAATAAAAAGGTAAAAAAATTTAGGCGAAAATTCAATGCGCCCGTCTTTCTTGACGGTAGTACTGTTATAATTAGTTATCATAGTACAAATAAAAATAAAGTATAACCATTAATATTCTTCAACATTTCATTACATAGCCTTTACAATTAAGCCCTTGACACTTCCTATGCAAAAATATATTTAAATTAAATCCATATTCTGATAGAGTTTTGAAAGAATTTAATTTGTCGTAAAAGTTCAATGTTGTACTGGAATTATTAAATTAGAAAATATAGGATATTTTTACCGATTTTATATATTATAGGGTATTTGCTGAAGTTTCCTAATCCTATACAATAAGGTATATTTTAAAATATCAAATGAATAATATATATGCTTTTAAGGTTGAAGAATGTTTTTATCTTGGGAGGAGCTTATCAAATCAAATGATTTTACACGACCCCTAAATAAATTATGGAATTTGTGACAACAGAAATTGTGAATTGAAAATTATCCTATACAATTCAAATAAAATTATATTGCATTAAAAAATTAAATATTTATAATTATGCCATAAAGGTGTTTTAAACTATATTCCTATTATATTCGTATTTGTTATATAGAATGTTTTATTGATTATATGCTTATTCGTTGAAAATTATAACATACATTTTTTATAATTTTTTCCTTCTTTATTCTTCCATCAATATTGTAGCTATAATATTCGAATAAATCTATAACACTCTTATTCCACAATCTATTTATATTATCGAGTAACAGTTTTCCAATAATAAGATATAACGCTTGAGGATTATATTTTCGACCACTAAGTGTAGTTGGACTTGCATTTTTATTAATAACTTTTTTTGATAATTTTTAGAGAAGAGTTTGAATACATGTTGATATCTATCTATAGAAACATAATCAATTTGATATATTCTTTTCTTAAGATTCTAGAGATGTGTCAGAATATTTGAAGTATTGATATGGCACTGCTATATTGAATCATGTTAACTGAATTCCTGCATAATTATATTATGAATAATGAGATCTAAATATAACTGAAATTTTTGATAAAAATATTAAAATTTTTTCGAATAAAATAAAAATTTGTAAAAGGAACAATTTGTATTTTGTTTATTTTGATAATAACTATTTATTCTTAAATTCAGCTACAAAACTGATTGAAGCACTAACCTCTACTAACGAAGCATTAAAGAATGATATAAGTTTCATCGTTAGTGCTTTCATAATTTTCTAGCCGAAATTTGACCTCTAAAAATTATTTTAGCGTGTTACAATTTTTTCATAACGGTTAACAAAATAAATTACGGAATATAAATATACTAATTAAGCACTAAATAATGGCGAAAACCGGATGTTTAGTACTATTATAGTTTTTGTTTTGGCACGTCGCCATTATTTGTTTTTTTCGCAAATAACTTTTTATTCTTAAATTCGGCTACAAAACTGATTGAAGCACTAACCTCTACTAACGAAGCACTAAAGAATGATATATGTTTCATCGTAAGTGCTTCCAAAAGTTCGGCCAACTTCACGCCTAAATCGTGACGTCTTAGTTTTTATTTAGCTTATAACTTTTTTTTTATAAGGCGGTTAAGTAAATTAATAACGGAATTTAAATACACTAATTAAGCACTAAATAATGGCGAAAACCGGATGTTTAGAACTCTTATAGTTTTTGTTTTGGCACGTCGCCATTATTTGTTTATTTTTGTTTTTTTCGTGAATAACTTTTTATTCTTGTATTCGGCTACGGAACTGAGTGAAGCACTGACCTCTACTAACGAAGCACTAAAGAATGATATAAGTTTCATCGTTAGTGCTTCCAAAAGTTCGGCCAACTTCACGCTTAAATCGTGACGTCATAATTTTTATTTAGCTAATAACTTTTTTTCCATATGGCGGTTAACTAAATTAATAATGGAATTTAAATACATTAATTAAGCACTAAATAATGGCGAAAACCGGATGTTAAGTACTATTCTAGTTTTCGTTTTGGCACGTCGCCAATATTTGTTTATTTTTGTTTTTTTCGTGAATAACTTTTTATTCATAAATTCGGCTACAAAATGGATTGAAGCACTAACCTCTACTAACGAAGCACTAAAGAATGATATAAGTTTCATCGTTTGTGCTTCCAATCGACTTTTAAGCGTGAAGTTGGCACAAATTTTTATTTTTGCCTATAACTTTTTTCCCTTAAATTCGGCTACTATACGGATTGAAGCACTAACGAAGCACTAAAAAATGACATATGATTCATCGTTAGTGCTTCCAATCGTTCGGCCAACTTCACGGACCTAAGTAACTTGTATCTTATTGAAATTTTTCTAAAGTATCTAGTATCTTAAATAGAAAATTTTATAAAGTATCTGTATCCGAATACAATTTTCTGAAAATTTGCCCAACCTTGCATATATATATATATAATGATTTAGAATTCTCAGAGACCTGCAGGCCCGACCCTAAGCCCGGCCCGTATTTTACATTTTTTAATATACCCGAGCCGGGCCTGGCCTAAAAAAATTTTTTTTAAACATATCTGGGCCGGGCCTACAAAAATTTTTTTAAAATATATCCGGACCGGGCTGGGCTTAAGATTATTAAACCCGGGCGTGGCCTTACTATTTTTTATAAAAATTTTTACATTATGAGTTAATGGTTATAAGATTATATTATATTATAGTTATGATTAATATAATATTGGGTGATGGTTAACACTACCTAACACCCACAGATCGATCTAATTATTAATTTCCTGCAAATTTATTTAAAGTATTAATATATTTTTTCATAATTCATATCTAAATTTTTACAACATATTTTACCAAAACAATCAAATAAAGGAATATCTTAAATAAGCCCCAATATTCAAGTATTATTAATATATTTTTTTATAATTCATATCTAAATTTTTAGAATATATTTTTCCAAAACAATCAAATAAAGGAATATCACTTCTTAAAGTTTGTAATACCTTTCAAAGTGAAAAAGGAGAAATAAAATTGATTTTACTTAATATAAAGCATTTTTTAATTGGAAATTTGTTTTACACAAGTATCATTTTATTTCTCTTTTTCTCTGTCCCAAATTCAAGCAATTACGTATATAGTCAGGGACAGATCGCAAGATGACGGAAAACTATATAAAAGATTATATTAAATTACAAGAGGCTCAGGAAATAAATGAAATACCATCGACCAGTCAAATTACGACTGTTGTTAAACAAACTGAATCGTTTTATGACAAATGGGGCGATGGTAATTCTGGTATATGTCAATACCCGATGATGAATATTATAATTACATAAATAAAAAAATAGATGAAACATTTAAGGTGGAAAATTTGTTAGAGTGGTGGGCGGCTCATCAAAGCGAATTTCCAATTTTAGCAAAATTGGCAATTCCTGCTTCAAGTGCAAGCTGTGAGCGGAATTTTTCCACTACGAGAATTCTTGAAGAAAGAAGAAGTAATCTTCAACCTAAAAGGGTAGATATGCTTCTCTTTCTTCATGATAATTTGTGAATTTTTAATATCTTTCTTGAGTATAGGGTTTCGTCAATCATGCTGGTTTTTTACTTTGCAAACTGTCAAATATTTATTGCATTTATTATATTAACCTTGAGTCATGAAAGTTTTTAATCCAACATTTTTCATTATTTTTTTTTACAATATTTTATAATACAATTATCTTATTTTGTTAAAAATTTATATTATAAAATAAATTATATTAATATTGTGCAATTAGATTATATTTTCAAAATACTATTGATTATACATGCATTTTTTTAAATAGCGATTTATTTTTATTTTATAAATTAAATAGTAAATTATATACAATATATTATATTCTCAAAATATTTTCCATTTTTATAAATTAAATATTAGTTTTATTATTTTTAAATGCAATTTAAAATATAGTATATGCTCAAAATATTATTACCATTTTTATGAATATTAGTTTTATTTTTATAAATGCAATATAAAATATAGTATATGCTCAAAATATCCATTTTTATAAATAACTGTTTTATAATTTTTATAAATTCAATATAATATTCTCAAAATATTAGCTTTTTACATGTATTTTTTAAATAATAAGCGATAATACTCGCTGAAAAATATGGTAAAATACCTCATAGGTGAATTGTTGTATATACCATTAGAATATAATTTTAAAAAATTCCTAGCCGGGCCTGAAATTTTTAAATCCGGGCCGGGCCGTAAAAATTTTTTTTAAAAAATATCCGGGCCGGGCCTTAAATTTTTAAATCCAGGCCGGGCCGGGCTGTAAAAATTTTTTTTAAAAATATCCGGGCCGGGCCTAAAAAATTTAAAACCGGGCTGGGCCGTGCAAATGGTACCTCTGCAGGTCTCTGAGAATTTTATAATAAAAAAGATATATATATTATTTTTTGATAATTTAAAAGAAATAAAGATTTAGTTTATTTAATAAATGAAAACTTTGTGCCTCACCTTTTCAAATAAAACAATCGTTTGATTATTATAAGTAATTTCTGAATATGTTTTGCATAGTGCTCCTTATGCTTTTAACAATTCTGTGTCGAATTGTTGTAGAAAATTTATTATTATTTCCTAAGAAAGTATGATTATGTATATTATTTTTAACAAAAAATATATAAAATATACTTAATGTCAAAATAAATTTTATTTAGGTAATTTATTTTAATTTTTATAAATAAATAATTACATAATTACTAACCTATTAAATTTAACATTAATTAATAAATAAACTAGTAATAAATAATACTATGATATGAGTTATATTATACATGTTCAAAAACATAAGGTTATATAATTTATAATCTATAAGATTTTTCAGCCTGATTCACAAAAAAGGCTAAAAAAATAATAACTATTGTTCAGTTGCTTACATCTATAATGTATATAATTAATTTAGTAATTATTAATATATTAAAAAATATATACATAACATTAATATTGTATAAATTAAGGCTTCGGTCCACAATTGATATATTGATAAGTGGGTAGTGATATTTGTTCTTCGTGTCTAACAAGATAATTAAATACAACAGTCGTTTGAAACTCAACGAAAAGCGCGTGAAACCACGAGGAATTGAATGAGCAAAATGTACTAAAAAAGTTTTAAAAAATCAACAAATAAAAATTATTCGAGATTAGAGTGAACAAAGTAAAGTAGTAAAAAAAGGTATTTTTATCAAAAATTAAATTGTTTTCAAAAGATAAAGATGGATTACTAACTTTTGAAAAAAGGATTAGAAATAAGGTTATAAACGAATAATTAGATCGAATAATGAAAAAAATTATTCACGAATAATTTCATAAAAATACGATTTTTGTTGAGTTTACCAAGGTTCATAAATGTATGGCCTGGCCCATAATAATTTTTTATGCAAGAAAATAAATAATTATCCTAATTCTAGGTTTAACCGGCCAAGTCTGAAAAAACTTTTTAGTCGGCCAGCGGGATTTTGGACTGGCATATCTGTCGACCTTATTCTTGACATGCCTTTTTAGGTTGTTAATTTTTTAAGTTCTAAATGTTCTATGAAAATTCACATCCAGAATCCAGATTTTATAAAAAAAAAATTTTTTTACGCCACTAGGCCTCCTTTGTCTTGATCGAAGGTTAGATTCATAGCGATGTCGAGGGGTTTGGATCGCCTATAAAGAAAAAAAATATTTTATTTTGGGTTATATTTTATTCTTTTATTGAAATCATTTATAATTTTTAAATTATCTTTTAACATAAAAGCAGACTTCAAAACAATTTTAGACATATGTAGAGATGTATTCAATCTAGATTTTTGAACAGTAACGAAGTTGCAATAATTTAATACTCCAAAAAATAAAAATGGTTAATAATTATTTAAAAAAATCATCATAAAGTTAATAAGTTCTACTAATATTTAACAAAAAAATTAACATGTCTAATATCTCTGACACGTCGCATTCGTATTGGATATGAATTCTGAGAGACTATTTTAGTTATTTCAATATTTTGAATCACAAAAAAACATTCGACAATATTAAAAACTTATAATTTAAATTATAATTGATTATGGATTTTAAGATTAGGCAATTTTTATAAACCAATCTGGTTAGTAGGAATATCCCCTACATTTCTAGATACATGCATATTTGGCAGACATAAAGGGTTGTTAATTATTTAATTTTTAGGGGTACACTAATTTAAGCACATCGAGGAACACATCTTATGGTTCAAATTAAATCTGTGCTGATTATAATGCGTCCAGATTATCAACAGCGGATATTCAATAAATTATCTAATATATTTGATTATTTACCTAGAAGGAACCCTGAAGCTTGTAAGATTATACGAGGTTTTCATTCTTTTGGAATCGAATATGGCGACCATAGATGCGTTTTTGATGTAAACGGGGAAAAAATTCGAATTCAAAACGTCAAAAGTATTCTTTCAAATAAAAATAATAATAAATGTCAATTACATGAATGAAACGAAGAAGATCGAAATTCTTTCTGATATATTGGCAAAGCTAGATATCACAATCAGAGTTGTTAGCGCGCTATTTTTTTTGGCAGCTATAGCTAATAGCGGCTACTTTGTTTGTAATTATTTAATTTTTTAGCGCTACTTTTTTTGAAATTCAAAAAATATAATGAAGGTAGGTATAAACACGAAAATTTAAATATAATATCATAATTAATTATAATGATATCCAAATCGTTAAAAGTGATTCAGACAATGATATTAATGAAATGGAAGATACCAGGGAAGAAAATGTTCTTAATAGCTATAATACAAATTTCCCATTCCCTAGATTTGAAAAATTTATTAAAATAAATAAAAAAACCAAAACTGGCTTCAAATTTATTTGTTTAAAATGTAAAAAAAATATTTCCTCGAATCAATCCAGTAGCTATAACCTCAAGTAACACCTAAAGGTAAATTGTCATTTTTACATTCTAATAGTAGATTTTTACTATATTTATTTCTTATTGATTAATTGCCATCAATTTATATACAGTACAGGGAATTCAATGTATTCATTTGTTAAAATATTTTTGCTTAGTTACATCATAATTCCTGAGTTTCAAAATTTAGAATACCTACCAAATGTTTTTCCACTTTATTTTCGATAAATATTACTACACATCTATATTAAAAACTGGATGAATAATTTGTCGTATTTAAAATGAATATAGAATATTTGGTGAGGATAATGCTGAAGATGAGATACATGATAGTCAACATGTATTGGAAGTGGAGGAAATAGGTGATGATGCCATTGATATTAAGAGTCTCACCCTAAACAAAGATGGCCCATTTACAACCATGAAGACTTCCGCTAATAATTATTTTAAAATAGAAGATAGTATAATAGAAAATCCACTAGATGCTTTCTTTAAATCCAAAAATAATGAGTATTTTTGATAATCTATCTTATATTAAAAATATTTATATAAGATTAAATGCTCCCTTGTACTCAAGTGCTAGTGTCGAGAGATTATTTAGTAAGGCAAAACTTATACTTTCTGATCGTCGCTCTAGACTTGGGGATGATAATATAGAATTGATTTTATTATTAAATGCAACAAATTACTATAACTATTTATTTTTATTACATAAATTTTTTTATAATCAAAACTAACTATATTTTAATACTTATAAATGTTGATTTTTTATATTTACTATATAATAACATTATAAACAAAAAATAAAACAAATTTGTTTGTAAATTTTTTTATAAAAAGTAGCTTATAAAGTAGCTAAAGCTACTTTTAAAAAATAGTAGCTAATAGCGCGCTACTTTTAAAAGTAGCATTTAACAACTCTGATCACAATCTATTTTAAGATATTTACATTATTTCATTTCTCCTTTAAATTTCACCATCTTATTCATAATAAAATTACTATCCTATCTGGACCATGGATGATCTTTAACTATCATTTTAATTTAAATTTGAAAGAAAGAAAAATTTGGAAGAGATGGTCAAAATTTATAATTGATATCATATAGTGGCACAAACATTTTGCTTTAAAGGAGAAGTCAACTATTTAGTCGATTGGTCTAATAGTATCGCATTTGCCGAGAATAATAAATTCTATATATAATTTTTTCTTAAAACTGGTTTGCCGCTAGTATTCAAAAAGGAATTCATTTATTTCATGGTTGAAAAAGTATTTAAACAGTAAACCAGTATTATAATAATCAGACAATTTAAAGAAGGGGGGGGGGGTAATTGGAGGTCGAACGTCAGCGTCAATATAAGAATAAAAAAAAAGAGAGAACGTAAAAGTAATAATTTGATATGTAATAAAAACTATGTCAATGATAACTTGCTAAAGCTAGAAGTATAATAATCTTTTTGCATAGAATATTTATTAATTTAACGGACATCTTCTATTTTAAAAAATAGGTGCACGATAAAGGGAAATTTTTTAAAAAATATTTTATAATGGCAAATACAAGATGTGATTGGAACCGAAATAAGAGACAAATTCAAGACTTCGTAGTTGGCTCTTTCAAAATTTCTACGAACCAGAACCCAAGAAAGAACATTTTAAAATATTTAATGATACATTATCATCTGAAGTACAATTTAAAATTAATAAAGTAAAACAAACTATTCCAATTTTAAAATAATAACTTTTAGAGGTAATAAAGTATATGAAGGTGATGAATGGCATGCGATGAATAATAAAGCAAATTATAATTTTTAATCAGAATGAGGGATGAGATCTAACTTATATAAATGGTGAATATACTTTTCCAAATGCTTATATTTCAGGTGGTAGATATGGAACATTTTTTTAAAACTTAACTGTAAAACTTAGATGTTTACAACAAATAATAAACCTTACAAGAAAAAATCAGGGTATAGAAAATTAAGAGATTTCATCTTATTTGAATATTTATCAAAATATATAAAAGACTAACCGATTATGCTTTTTCAAAAAATAAAGTATAGGTGCCAGGGTCACTAAAAGAAAGTTTGTCCCAAGGCTGAAGGTTTGGAAATTGAAGGAGGAGAGTGCTAGACGTCAATTCAATATGGCATTGGCGATTAGGGAGGCGGAGGTGGCACAAGCATCTGGGCGAATGACAAATGGGAAGCCATGAAGAAAGTCTTGGTAATGACAACTGAGGAGGTATGTGGATGGACAAAAGGGCCGCCTAGACATAAGGAGACTTGGTGGTAGACTCCGGGGGTAGCGAAAGCCGTGGATGAGAAACGGAAGTGTTTCAAAGTATGGTATAATAGCAAAGAAAATAGTGATAATGATATTTACAAGATGGCTAAAAGAAATGCTAAGAAATTAATAGCGAAGGCTCAAGAAGAAAAAAGACACGAGTTTGCTAAAGAAATGGAATGCGCTGATGGAATTGGAAATATGGTTTGAATGGCAAAACAGATGTCAAAAAAGAGGCAGGATGTGATAGGTGTAAAGTGTTTAAAAAATATGGAAGGAAAAATGGCGATTGATGGTAGTGGTATTAAGAACACCTGGAAGATTTACATGAAAGGACTTTTGAATGAAGAAAATGAATGGGATAATAATATTAGTTGTGCAAAGGTAGAAGGTCTAGGGTGTAAATTTGGCATGGACGAGATAAAGAGAGCAGTGAAAAAGATGAAAAAATGGAAGGCATAGGGTTTAACGATGGTGGTATCAGAGATGTTTAAAGGTTCTGATGATTTATGGATTGCATGGTTAATGAATTTAGCAAATCAAATTGTCACAGAAGGTACTATTCCCGAGGACTGGCGAAGAAGTATAATTATCCCAGTATAAAAGGGGAAAGGTGATCCTTTAGATTGCGGGTCTTACAGAGCTATTAAACTCTTGGAACATGCAATGAAAGTATTTGAGAGAGTGTTAGAGAAGCGGTTAAGGTAACAAATTAAAATTGATGAAATGTAGTTTGGTTTTACATCGGGAAAAGGCACGACAGATGCAATTTTTGTGGTGAGACAAATTCAGGAGAAGTATCTTGCGAAGGAAAAGAAACTCTATTATGCGTTTGTTGATTTGGAGAAAGCATTTGATAGGGTGCCGCGTGCGATTACTAGACGGGCCTTGAGAAAATCAGGTTTGGAGGAATGGTTGGTTACCTCAGTGATGGCAATGTATGTTGGAGCACAAACAGCAGTACGGACGGATTATTGTGATAGTGACAGTTTTGAGGTGAAGGTAGGACTTCATCAAGGATTCGTGCTGAGTCCATTATTATTTATCTTAGTAATGGATGTGGTGGCTAGAGAAATGCGTGAAGGACTTCCATGGGAGATATTATATGCAGATGACCTTGTATTAATGGCAAACAGTGAGGGAGAAAGTTAGTAAATGGAAGATGACTATGGAAGCAAAGGGCCTGAAAATGAATGCATCAAAAACAAATGGTGGGGAAAATCTAAAGATGGAGGAATCCGGTAAGTGGCCTTGTGGTGTATGTGGGAAAGGAGTTGCTAAAAATTCTATAAGATGTAGCGGGGAAAAAGGCAGTTTGATGTTAGAAAGAATGACCTTTATTTGTAGAACATGCATGAAAGGGATACATAATAATGATAACCTAAAAAATGGTGGTCTGACTATTGGCAATGGGTTAACCCTAGAAAAAGTGGATAAGCTTTGTTATTTAGGTGATATGCTAAACGCAGATGGTGGTGTAGATTCTGCCGTTGTTGCAAGGATCAGACAAGCTTGGAAGAAGTTCAGAGAGATGTCGTCTATTCTTACAAATAAAAGAGTTTCTCTGAAGTTAAAGGGGAAAGTTTACGTAAGCTGTGTGAGGAGTTGTTTAGTTTATGGCGGTGAAACATGGGCAATGAAAGCGACTCACGAAACCAAATTAGAAAGAACAGAGATGAGGATGGTTAGATGGATGTGTGGGGTATCTCTGAGAGAGAGAAAAACTAGCAAGGAATTTCGAGCAAGATTAGGTATAGAAATGATTGGTATGGTAATGCGACGAAATAGACTAAGATGGTTGGACATGTGGAACGTATGACAAGAGATGACTGGGTAAAGAGATGCACAATGATGTAAGTAGGAGGATCAAGACCTAGAGGAAGACCCAAGATGACGTGGACAAATGTGATAGCGGCGGATATGAGAAGCATGAATCTTACAAGTATTGATGCTCAGGACCGTCAAAAATGGAAAAGAAAATCAGAGGGAAAACTGGCCTACCTGGGTAAACCTGGAAATCGCCATAAAACGGAGAAGAGGAAGAAGAAAGAATAAAGTTAGAAGCCATAGATTAAATGGTATATTATTCATTAATACAGTTGTGGGCGAAATTTTATTATAAGTTGCAATGAATTTAGGCATAGTATAGGGTAGTATAGAGTATGTATGTATAGCTATTATATTATGTAATGATCTTTTTTAATGGAATTTTAACTACATTATGTTAAATAGCAGTTATTTTCATGCAAAATTTATTTAAAAACAAGTGAGCTGTAAATAATTTATTTTGGTATTAGAGCAGGGGAGATGGGGGTGAGGGTTAATATAATTTACTTTGAAAGCTAGGGAAACTACGTTTTGCGTGATGTTTACGTGAATGTAATAAGGCTGGATCTTGTAAATAGAGCTTCTGAGGGTGGTAGAACGAGGGAACAGGAACCAAATGAGTAACCCACTCATAACAGTGCAAATGAGAATCGATAGGGTGACGTATAAAGATCTTAATTAATTAAGATAAAAGTTGAAAAAAATATAAGAAATGCCACCTTAAATATGGTCATTGTAGACTGAATAATCTTAAGTATATTCCTTAATAATTACTATTGTTTGAAACATCATTCTTTTTATTCAGAGATAACAATACTTAAATTTTAAACCAATATCAGTATCTGATATCCGAATATGATAATTAACCATATAAATCTACTCTAGTGTTGTTAAACGGCTCGTTTTGAGGCAATTTTTAAAAAGAGCTAGCTCAATACTTCTTCCAGAAAATATTACGCAAGCCTGATGATTTTGCTCAAAGAAGGAACAAAGTCTATACATGTATTATCGACATCTCAAGTCTTAGGCAATATTTTTCTGGCTAAAATATTGAGATATCCGTTTTTAAAAATCGCTCAAAACGAGCCGTTTAACAACACTAGTGTACACCCCATGCACTAGACCTGTCATATTCTATAAGTCTTGCAGAATTTTCAAAAATTAAGTTAAGAGGGAAGTATGTGGGAGAATTTCATATTTTTAACGAGCGCTTCTAATAAATTATATCTACAATTAACTATCCAAATGGTCACAACACAACCAGTAAGATCAGGCCAATAAATTTATAACTTATTCTTCAAAAAATGATTTTAAAATTGGCGCTTTTTAATATATAAAAAAGATTTCAAAGGCTTGAAAATTCAAAGAAAAAATTAAACTGCAATAAAAATGAATCTTTACGAAATCTATCTGAAATTTATTGTAAATCTTTTGAATTTATTTTTAGCAACTTTATAGTTACCCATCTTATATCAAACGGCAAAAATTGTGCCCCTTTTAAGCTGCATTGTGCAACATATGTGGCAAATACAGATTGCTAAAAGAATTAATTTGTTGATTTGGTTAAATTTTACAAAAAATCAATACTGGCATTATTTGCATATTAGAAGAGTTATACACAGATAATATAGAATATTTCGCATTTGCTATAAATATGTTTCAAAGTGTTAACAAAAAGTTAATTTTTATTTAATTGGGCAAAACAACGGAAAATGAAATAGCTGAAATTTGATAATAAAATATAAACTAACATTTTTCAGCTAAATTTATATCAGATATTAAAAAAAAATTAATTAAAAATTTTACATTTTAAACCATTTTACACATTTAATAGCGATTCTTTTTCCAAGTGGCAGATATTCAGTGCAACAGCATTACATAAAGCGGGCCATTTAGTAGGTCGATTAATACAATTCAGTTCTGCTCAATTCTAAAAATATTTCAAGCTCGTACATTAAAAAAACGGTTCTCTGTAGATTTCTTTTCTTTTCAAGTACTGTGAAATATTATAATGAATAATTTAATCTTTCATAATGGGACAATTTAAGAATCCATACCAGGTTGTTAAACAAGGTTGATGTGATTAAATCAAATCAGAGTATGAAATGCTCATTTTTTTTTTGAAAAATATTAGACAGGATTTTTATCAAATTTTACTTAAAATTTTAAATCTATTTTGAATGTGGATAGATAATCCTTCATGGTGAAGTAAATTTTTTTAAAAAGAATAGATCTTTAATTTTGTGATCTTCAAAGATATTTGCTAAAAATTTCAAATTTTTTTCTAACTCTGAATCAAATTGATGAAAAAAACAAATTATTGATTTTATTTTTAAATAAAAATATTTTATTATATCTCGATTATATTTGGCATATGTTCTAATTATTAGTTAAATTTGATTATTAAAAATGATTTTGGTATAATATATTCCCATAAAAAAATATAATTTAATGAGATATAATCTATAATTAATTCAAATAGCCCATATTTAAATAAATAATTAACATTTTTATATATTAAAATAATAGTTAAATTAAAAAATTCAACATTATTTATATTAAATTTTTTTTATTATAAATTATATATTCATAAGGTATTAATATAAATGGGCAAATATTGAAAATTACATATGAAGAAAAATTCATTTTAGCCAATTAACACAAATACTGTAATTAAATGAATGTGTTATTTTTCATGACAAATTTTTTTTTCCAAGATATTTAATTTATAAAAAAAATAATGATTTAATAAAAAAGGATTGATATTTATACTTTTATATAAAATTCTTGATTCTCGCAAACCCTATCATAAAATAATAAAAAGATAAAAAATCCAAGTTTGACATTAGAGGTCATTATAAAAAATCTTCTGGGTTAGTTAGGTACCTTGGGCTAAATATTTTTTGGGGTGATTTCAGAATTTACAATTTTTTATATTTATACCACTGCTTGTAAAGATTGCATAATATATTCCTTCTATATTCATATATCTATTATATAAGTACATTTAATTTGGCAATTTTTTTAAAAACTTTCTCATGTCATTAGGTTTAATAAAGTAATAAAAATTTTTACGTTCTTCTGGGTTTCAATCTGTCATCTGAGTAAGGAATTAGTGCAATTAGTTTGGCTTCTTGTTCTATATAAATGTAAATTATTCTAATTTAAGAAGGATCATATAAAGGAAATGGTTTATAGATAAAAAAAACAGGTTAATTTTATAATATATCATAATAAAATATATTATTGGTCTCTTTTTTATTTGGCAATTAGTTTTTTGGCATATGAATTTGATCTTAATGATCTAAAACCTTGTGGTTATCATATGATTCTAAATTTTCACAATTGTGTATAGTATAATTTTAGAAAAGTAATTATAACACATCATATTAGCATAAGAATTAAGTTAAATAAAAAATAATACACCATAATATGGTTTTTTTAAAATAAAATTTGGAGATATCAATATTACACAAATTAGCATATTACCTTTTGGAATTTTCCCTAGCCCTTTACAGCTGGGACATGGGACACTGCCATTCATCAATTCTTCATACTCTTCTCCACTTTCATTAATTAATAAGGTCTTGTTATAACCATTATTTCTATTAAAATTTTTAAGTAGATTAAGATAAATTTTCTGTATTTTCATAATAGTCGGCGATTAGTAATTATAAAAAATTATACTGTTTGGTAAAAATTATTCAAAATTTAAAAATTAAAAGAATCGTAATAAAATGAATTTTATATTTCGATGAATGCAAGTAAATACTCGATAATAAATGAGAAAAAAGCATCATTATTTATTTTATTGATGAGTTCAAAAATATAATCAATCGGTAAAAGAAATTATAGTCACCTTATTAAAATGCCTATATTTCTTTTATACAATTTACACGAGAAAAATCACACTAGACTTTCATAATTATTAATAGTTGAGTAAAACAAAAAATGGCAATTTACTATAATGTATCATTTAAAAATAAATTACATGCGCTTATATGATTAAATAAAGGTTATATTGGTAATTTCTTCTATTAACCGAAGCCATAAAATGATAATCCTGATAAAATGGTATATTAAGGTTATAATACCTTTTTATACCATTATTATGATATTTTAAAATTTTATTTTCGATTTGAAGAATAAAATAAGACATTCATTCATAAATTCTATTTTTTGAAATATTTCAAGGCTTCGCTAGTATTTTTATTATTAAGAATAGCCTTTGAATTATATTCATATATTATATTTTAAGCATTTCCTTCTAAGTAAACATATTATTGATCTAACTTTTTTAATTTTCTATAATATTTATTTGTCTTTATTTTGTAAATTTATAAAAAGCGATAATCTGTAATGTACTTATAATTTAATATGTTATTTTAACCATCAATTAATATTATCCTATCCATATATAATTATAATAAAAAAAATTATTACTATGCTTTCCTCTAATAAAATGTTTTATCATATTAATATATATATTTTTTTTAAATAAAATATTATACAATTTTAAGATTTTGATGCAATATGATTGATAATACTTGTAAAAACAATGACTCAAAGCAAAATGGAGAAACAGTTCAAAATCAACAACTCCCCAATAATTTGCTTTTGGTCACATCTTCAAATATTCCTCTATCCTCTTCCCCATTTATATCACAAAATGGGCATCTGCAAAAGCCTTCATTTAATATATTTGAAAATAAGCACTCAATAATGACAAATGAAGAACTTAATCCACCACTAGATCCTCAAAGTATGACAAGGAAAGATCTGACTAAAATATACGAAAGGCTCAAATTATCCCAGTATGAACTTAACAAAGGATGCCCCCTAACCACCAAATTTGAATTTTATCCCATGAGAATTGATGATAAAAACAATATCACAGCTTATAAAATCTTCTATTTGGCACCTTTAAATACCTGTGGCAATAATTTTGAACATACCAACAATAGTTTAAGCCTAAATTCCAAGCTCAATGTAGTTACCATCTTATATTCTGAGATTCAAATACCTACATTTAGTGATAATTATGTTGTTAGTGCAAAAATATATCATCAGGATGCCAATGATTCTACAATAATTTTTGGTAGAATGGATAAAGAAAGCAATGATCTCACAAATTTAATAAAGATAAATAATAATGATAATTATACTAACACAAAAAGTCAAAATATGTTTACAACAATTAATAGATGCCCACGTTTTCCACTTTTATCTACTGAAGTGTATGATGCTAAAATCAGTCAAAAATATATATTTTATGATAAGATGGTCAAAAACTATTTCTTTTCCCAAATAGTTAACAATAATCTTGACAAGGTGAATGAGTTCAGTTACAATTTAATTCTACTTATTATATTTATATATTTATATTCTATTAATTTATTTCAATATTCTTTTCTATCATAATCTGTTCATTCCTGCATATCACATTTCTTATATGAAGGCTTCCTCATCACTTAGTAAAGAAGAAATTCTCTTGAGGGAACGCAAAAGATTGCCATCTTTAGATCAAAATCAATCTTCATCCTCCGCAACTCAGAGTGATTTATCACCCAACTTAACCTCTATCACTGATTTTGAGTACCTTTCCTCTACAATTTTTACCAAGCAGAGTGCACAAAATTGTAACCTGAATTTTAATGAAGGTTTAAATCGGGCCAGAGTGGATGATTGTGGATTACTCTTTTCCCTACATTCTCAAATATTCACAGTTCCTGTCCAGGCACTGGGCTCTAGTCATGATATGGTATTTTACTTATGTCGTATATATTTAATTTTATGGTTAAGGCCATGCTAGATTATTCTAATTAGGTATTTATTGGGCAAGAGGATATGACACTAGATTGGCAGAACTGGAAGGTGGGTAGGTAGATATGAAGGCACCATTTTCATTTGAATAAAGTGTGAAAGAAAGGGGAGATTGGGGGTATGCTAGTTTAAATTGTTTCTTTTTAGCCAGTTCGATTTTAATTTTCTTTAAGGTCCATCAATTTCATTTTTTTATTAACCTATTTTTTAAATCTGCAATTTTTTTGAATATAAGACTTAACCTCAAATATTTGTAGTTGAACACCAAAATTTACAACTCTTTATGGGGGGTGGGGGGTTAAATTAAAAACATTATACTTTATGAAATATCACATCTACCAAATATCAGAATTGTTTGAAAATATTTTAGACTTTGCCCCAGACCACTTGATAAGAGGTAATATGGTCATTGGCTTAGGGGAGAGGGTGTAAAGGTGCATAGTTTTTACATTTGAGTAATTCAATATAAAAAATTATAAATAATTTATTGCAATAAATTATAAAGGGTAATTTTAAATATAATATACACCTATCATTTAATATATGGAAATTATTCTGTATTAATAAATAAAACTAATCAGCAGACAATATATTTTGATATGCAACAAACTTGACCTGCTAACATTTTAATATTATATCTTGAACGCACTAATATGTCCTTAGTCTATAATACATTGTTTTTCATTTTTTTTAAAATTTTTTAATAAAAATGTATAGTAAATGTGATGTTCGTTTTTGACACAAATTTTTTCAACATTCTCGATCATATCTTACATAATTTAAATGAGTATGAAATTATTATCATTTAACGTTTTTTCATCATTCAAGGTAGACCAAAGTGTAAGGTTATAAATCAATTATAAAATATTTTTTAAAAAAAATTTTCATTCAAAATTTATATTTCTATTTCGTGTTTATATCATTTTCGTAGGGAACATGCCCAACACCCTTGAACCTAAGTCAAACCACTCACCCATATGATCTCAAGATATGTCCTGACGATGCGGGCCTATTGGCTTTTGTCAGCGAAAGAAATTTATTCGTCTTTGACACCAGATCTTCCCAATTTTTGCGTCTGACTTCCAGTCGAGATAAAGGTTTAAAAAAAATTTTTTTTTTAATTTTTCCATAAAAAAAACCTTATAATAATCTAGTTTTTTTCTATTGGGTATATATAAATTTACTGATTAAAGCTATCCATCACATGTAGTGAAAGGGATTAGAGATATCTATATAAGGACAAACTCACATAACGTCTATAAAACATGAGACTTCTGACAGAATAATTAATTTTATAATATTAATTTTAAAAAGGGCAATTTAAATAATTTTAAAATTCATTTTGTTGGAATTGTATTCCACCATTTGGATAATACATCCTCTAAGAATGCCCAGAAATTTTGATACAATTTTAATATTTTTCTAACAATTTTTTTAAAAATTAATAACAAAAATGGCGAAATTATCTGAAACTCATGGAATGATTTAGATTTCCTCCATATACACATGTTTATATTTTGAATACCAGGAAGGAGTTATTAGAATGAATGAATGAGGATAGAAGTAAACAGGAGAGATAGTATAAAGGAGAGGGATGTATCATATAAATGAATGAATAAATATGGAGATATATTAAAAAATATATATATTTTAAAAAAAATATCAAATAGACATAATGTGTGGGGTACCATCTTTCGTGATTCAAGAGGAATTCGATCGATTCACCGGGTATTATTGGAAACCTACCAGACAACTCGTTAATTGTATGTTCAAAGATAATAAATTAGATAATCTTTCATTCACATTATAAAATAAGAGTTTGGAATGGAAACGTGGGCCAGATATTATTTTTTTTACAAGGTCTCACAAAACTTATTTTGTGACTTGCCATTTTTATTTTATTAATTTTTTCAAATATCTCGAAAATTGGAAATAGATAATTTTAAGATTTAGCTTAGGCAGCATTAATTTTACAATTTATTTATAAGTTATTTTTCAAGGATAAATTCAAGTTTTGGACACATTAAGAAATTTTAGAATTAATAAAATTCATATATCATTTTAATAAATGAAAAAAACATAAATTTCAAATCAAAATATAAATTTAAAATACTTTATTTTCATAATTCAAATATTTTTACGATACCATTTTTCATCTATTGAAACAATCGATAAATTATTAAGCATTTCCTGTAGCATAGTGACCTGGTCGAACTTAGTTTTTTATAATAAAGTCTTGAAAAGCTTCTTTCGGCACAGATAGCTAAAAATAAATATTTTCTTTTAACCTCCTCAAAAATATAAAATTTATTTAGCGTGTGGACCAATGCAGTCCAGGTCTTAGGTCGGCACTGAAGAAATTCTAGCTCTGTTTTTTTAATAAGTGATTGTAGTTCCAGTAGGTTTTTATAAGAGCTTCTTCTGATTCGTTAATAATGGCATTGAAATAAAATATTTAAAACACTAAATAAACATTCTAAAAGGAATCAAAATAAAATTTTGAACAATATACATATAAATTAATTACACCTTCATGGAACCGGTTCCACTAATTTTAAAATGGCTTTTTGTCCCGAAAGTTTCTGTCTACAACTCTGCTATTAATAATATCATTCATGTTGTTTGACTATCTTTTAAAAATAGAGCTGCGCACGTTATTCAAAAACGTCACATTGTTATGTTTCGTAGTAACATAGTCGTTATTTTTTTTGCCGTTTGATACTTTTAAAAAGTAACTCGTGACCTCATATTAATAAACTTTTGAAAGTTTCCATTTTTTTAAAATTTCTACTAACCTTTTTTAAAAATTATCTTATATAAATCATTTTAAATCATATTTATTCCTCAGCTTTAGTTTATTGATAAATATATCTTAATTTAAAGTAATGTGTTGGCTCAACTCACGATTTTCAAAATTATTTAAATAAAATTTTATAAAAAATCTTTTTAAAAACGAATATTCTGCAATTGTCAAAAATGTATATTGGCTTCCCATTATTGTATAATAAATCGTGAAGTTATTTTCAAAAATCTTCTTTTTACACTTTTTTAAAAAAATTTCTGGGGCCCGGATATTTAAAAAAAAATTTTTTAGACCCTGGTATATTTAAAAAAATTAAAATACGGCCCGATTCGTGTGTCCGGGTTTAAGGTCGGGTCTGCAGGTCTGATATTACACAACAAATAAATATATTTAGCGGATCCGACCGATTATTGGTCTTTTCTGAAATTTTGGTTATCGGCTGATTCAATTTTATGTCAGATAGGGGTACTAATTAAGAATTTCTAAAGCGGTATTTATTTCTTTTTAATAAAATTCAGAGACCTGCAGTGGTATCATTTTCACCCTGCTCACTCCGAATTTTTTTTAAAAAATATTGCATTTATTTTTGATTTTTATAGTTAATAATGGCGAATTAAAATATTTGGTTTTAAAATATTCAGCCTGGCCTAGGTATTTTTTTTAAATTTTTTTTAGTTAGCCTAGATATTAAAATTTTTTTAGGCCCTTGCCAGATATATTAAAAAATATTTAAATACGATATAGCCCGTCCATCTAGGCCGAACTTTGGGCCAGGCCTACAGGTCTCTGATAAAAATATAAAAAATATTGGAATCAAATTTTTGACTAAGTTAATTTGCGTAAAAAAAAAGATTTTGTGGGTTTTTAAAAAAAATAAATGATTTTCATGCTTAGCTTTTCAGTTAATTAGTTGCGTAAACATTAGTGTTATTAAAGTAACTGGTTATATTTTAAAAATTGTAACTATTAACTGTAACTAATTATTTTTTAAATGTAATTGCAAAAAGTAACTAGCTTAAAAAATATGTTTGTATAAATTTAAATAATAAATTTTATTTTTAGTATGTTGTGATAAATTAAATTTATTAATTTTAAATTATGTTTAAATGTGTGTTCTCAAAGGATATGGCAACAATAACATAATTTCCCGTCCATATAGATTTTCTTTTCTTAAATTGTTACCAGTGTTGTTTTAAGTTACATTTGAAACATAACTATTTACAGTTACTAATTACTAGTGTTGTTAAAGTTACTTTTGAAACATAACTAATTACTAGTTACATTGACAAAAATATAACTAGTTACATTGACAAAAATATAACTAGTTACATTTGTAAAAATGTAACTAGTTATTAGTTACCGTTATTTTCCAAAAGTAGCTAGTTACATTATAAGTTACTTTATATATTATTCATATAACACATTTATTTACTGAACGAATTTATTTAATATAAAAGAATTATGATATACAAATTCTAATCATTTGTTTAAAAAAATATGCAATTTATTTATATAAAAAAATAGGTAAACCGAAAAAAATATCGGAAAATAGATTTACATCGAATAAAAATATCCTATATATTTGCATTGAAAAAAAAACATTTATTTTTCATAAAAATTTGAGTTTAATAAATGTATATTTGCTTTCAACAACAATTGGATTTCAAAATTTTCATCTAGGAGACGCGCTCGTTTCTCTCCAAAGATGAGCTTCCCAAGATTGAATAAACGCTCTACTGGGGCACTTGATGTAATAACAACATTATATTTAATAAAGAGTATTTTTAAATTTGGAAAATCGTCATATAAAGATAATGTGCTGTTATTGGATTTAATAAAATTTTTAATAAATTCATTATTATCAATAATATTTTGACGCTTTGAATCAAAAAATCCAACTACATCTAATGATGTTTGTTTCGAACATGGGCCATTTGTGTTAGATTCACTGCGAGGTATTAAAGTATTTATTAAATTTAAAATTTCTATCTTTTTTGATCTATTCTTTTCTTGCCTAATCCAAGGCCAATCAGTTTTAAATAGTGGATAAAGAATAGAGCAATTATGTTATCATTATCATAAAGATCATGAAACCTATATCATTGTATTATTAATTTATAAATAATTATTTAATTTAAGTTACCTTTTTTTAATACTAGCTTATATAGCATTTTTTAAAGGTTGACAATATTTTAATTCTTGAACACCTTCCAGACAGATAAATATCTGTGTTATTGTTGGGGTATAATAACCTAGATACATATATTTTTCGCCTTCTAGTATATCATTAGCTTTAGCTACTGGTTGCATAATCTAATTTTTTTAATTGTAAATTATTTATATAAGACATTAATTTAAATTTACACTGCAATATTATTTAATAAAATCACGATCTTGTGATGTAAATCTACACAATTCTAATTCATCACCTAATTAATCGAGATCCAAAGGCATTTCATTTATAAGTGATAATATTTTAGATAAAGATGTATAAAAAGAACCCAATCTTGTTACAATGGGATATGGCAGCTGAGAATGTAATCTCTTTTAAATTTGCTCGGCTGATGGCCCAGATTTGTTTTGTGCATTCCACAAACATTGTTTATAAGTATTTTATTGGCATCTTGTGTTGCCACTAAGTTTAATGTGTAACAGGAACATCTTCGATGCCTGGAGAGGTAATCGAAGTCATTTATATTATAATTGGTTAGCCCAGGGGAAGACATTATATTTTCTATTGAAATGTATTCAATATCTGAATCATTATCTTCCTCCATTATAGAAGATGGGCAGCTAAATATTCTAAGAAAAATAAAATAAAAAATAAAATAAAGTCTATTAGTGGTAGCATTATCTGTTATTGAACAGATATTTTTATTTTGAATGTGGTATTCCTTAAAAATAGCAGTTAATGCTTTGACGTGATATGTATGCCTACCTTGTAGTCTTTGGCAGGCTAAAATAGCTGAACGCCTCTCCAATTTAGCGATATCAATCCAATATACTGTTACACCAATATAGGAGCTATTATTTATATAACAAAAGATAACCAAATGTTTCATGTGATTTAATAGGCGTTCAGCTATTTTAGTCTGCCAAAGATTACAAGGTAGGCAAACATATGATGTAATCAACAAAGCCTTAACTAATATTTTTAAGTAGTGCCACATCCAAAATAAAAATATCTGCACAATAACAGATAATGCAAGCAATTTTTCAAAGCCCTTACAGTATGCCTAAATAATTTATTTTATATATTATATTTCTCTTAGAATATTTAGCTCCCCATTTTCTTTATTGGAGGAAGATAATGATTCAGATATTAAATACATCTCAATAGAAAATATAATTTTCTTCTTCTGGGCTAATCAATTTTGATATAAATGACTTCGACTACCTTCCCAGACATCGAAGATGTTCTTGTCATACATTAAACTTAGTTACAACACAAGATACCAATAAAATACTTTCAAGCAATGAGAAGTATTAGAAAGTGTATAACTTTCCTATATCTAAATGCCAACGTTTATGGAACTTACAAAACAAATCTGGGCAACAAGCCGAACTAATTAATATGAGATTACATTCTCAACTGCCGTATCCCGTTGTAACACGATGGGGTTCCGTTTATAAATCTCTGGCTAATATTATCTTTAAATGAAGCGCCTATTTTATTTATTATATGATGAATTAAAATTGTGTTCACATCACATGATTATGATTTTATAAAAGAATATTGTATTGTAAATTTAAATTAATGTCTTATAAAAAATTTACAATTAAAAAAATTAGATTATGCAGTCAGTAGCTAAAGCTATTGATATACTAGAAGGCGAAAAAAATATATATCTAGGTTATTATAACCCCAACAATAACACAGATACTTATCTGTCTGGAAGGTGTTCAAGAATTAAAATATTGTCAACCTTTAAAAGATGCTATATTAGTAGTATTAAAAAAAGGTAACTTAAATTAAATAATTATTTATAAATTAATAATACAATGATATAGGTTTCATGATCTTTATGATAATGATAACATAATTGCTGCTATTCTTCATCCACTATCTAAAAATGAATGGCCTTGGTTAAGGGAAGAAAAGAATAGATCAAAAAAGATGGAAATTTTAAATTTAATAAATACTTTAATACCTCGCGGTGAATCTAACACAAATGGCTCATGTTCGCAACAAACATCATTAGATGTAGTTGGATTTTTTGATACAAAGTGTTAAAATATTATTGATTTGATAATGATGAATTTATTGAAAATTTTATTAAATCCAATAATCACATTATCTTTATATGACGATTTTCCAAATTTAAAATTACTTTTTATTAAATATTTATGTTGTTCTTACATCAAGTTCTCCCATAGGGCGTTAATTCAATCTAGGAAGGTTCATTTTTGGAGAGAAACGAGCACGTCTTTTAGATAAAAATTTTGAAATCAATTTGTTGTTAAAAACAAATAAACATTTATTGAACTCTAATTCATAAATATATTATATTTTCCGATATTTTTTTTTCTGTTTAATTATATTAATAAATTGTATATTTTTTAAAATAATTTATTATAATTTGTATATCCTAATTTTTTTGCATTAAATAAATGCTTTCACTAAATAAATAATGCGTTCTTGAATGATATATAAAGTAACTTATAATGTAACGAGTTATTTTCAAAAATATCTTTTAACAACACTAGTAAACACTAGCCCTAAAATATTCAACATAGATGTTAAATTTTAAATCTGTACATAAACCTGTCAAAATTCTTTTTTATTTTTTGGAATTATTTGATATTTTTTTTAAATTTAAATTTTTTTCACTTTTTTTATTTTTGGAAATGTCTATATTTAATTTATAAATTTATTAAGTTTACATAATTACATAAATATTAAATATACATTAAAAATTACACAATAAAAGATATATTGATTGCATGGTTGATATATAAATAATGATTAATATATGTTGTATTCCATATCAAATCAACTGAAGATTCAACCCGACCCTCTTCGATTTTTTTTAAAATTTGCATGATGGTAGTATATACACTAACTAGCAATAATATAAAATTTTAATTCTCAACTCAGGTTACTTGGAGATATGGCCATCTTTAGAAACGCAAAAAGTTCAAAATACACCATATTTAATTTAAAATATCTCAAAAAGTAATTAAGCTAAGGTATAATTTAAACTTTATTAAATAACTCTAGAATAACCCTTTAATATGATATAAAATTTATTATATTAAAAATAATTTTATTACCAAAAACCGGAAATAGAAAACCGGAAATGGTTATAAAATAAAAATTGCCCTTTTTTTTCTTTCAAAATTTTTTAACAAATAGACATTATATATCTTAATATTTGTACAAAATCCTAGATTGGGACCATTACTGGGCCAATAGTTATTACGCTTTAAATATAAATAGTATGGCTTAAATTCTATATTATACGAAATAAGTAATTATTTTTTTAACAAAAGTGATAATATTTGTGAATAATAGTATTAAAACTGAAATCCGAACCCCATCTTAAGATTTATATTCGACCCCAAAAAAAATTTTTTTCCTTAAATTCGATATTTTATACCTGGCAATTCTATGAGTGAATTATGTAGATTATTTTCTTTGCCGGATAAAAAATTATCTTTGTGATCGTCAGAAATATATTTTCATAAAGATTATTTTCTACTTATAATTAATTATCAAATAAAATAATTATCATAAAAATCAAATTCAATTCCAACAGCAACAGTCGTCATTTTTATTGATTAATTTTATAAAGCCATTTTTCTAAGAAAATTAAATTATCGGTATTCATTATTCAATTTATTTTTAATTTAAAATAATTATATAAAATTAATAGCTATCTTTTATTCCTTACCAAAAAAATTTAAATGTCTAGAAAAGTTATTTCTATTCCAGTAAAGTGCTGTAATCCCTTTAGAATAAAATCTCATTCAGTACGTTACGATCTTAGAAATGTTTTACAATGGATGATAGAAGTGTTCAAGCTTATCAATTAATTAAAAAATTTGTAGCTCTTGCCGGAAAAAAATAAAAAAATATTCAACAAATCTGATCTCACCTTTTACTTCTACGATTCCGATCACTTTACCTTCTATTTCTAACTTACATTCTACCTCAACTATTAATGAAACATTTAGCGATTCTGAACCTGATCAACCATGCAATAATCCCGACTCTTATACAGATTTTAATACTTCAATTTCAACTTTAAATGAAACTTTGCCATTTTTAGGGGAGACACTAACGGCCAAACTAATTCCCGGGACACAAAAATATTATTCATTTATTCCAATGGAAGGAAAAATGAAAGTCAAACGTTATTCTAATTCATTAGATAATTTAATGTATGATATTATTTAATTTAATATGTTTATAACAATATTAATTTTCCATTTGATATTCATGTAATATAAATAATTAGCTAAATAAAGTTATGAATATTTTTACAATTATTTTCTTTCTAAAATAAAATCGCTAAACTTATATGTTAAATGTGACATAATGTCTACTAGTGGGCTCACAGCCCGAAACATTTATAAAAAAAATATAATCGGCCCGATCATAAAGGAATTTTCTTTTTATTTGTTTCGTAATTTACTATATATTTGGTATAATTTAGGATTTAAGCCATACTATTTATATTTAAAGCGTAATAACTATTGGCTGAGTAATGGTCCCAATCTAAAATTTTGTACAAATATTAAGATGTATAATGTCTATTTGTAAAAAAAAATTTGAAAGAAAAAAAAGAGCAATTTTTATTTTATAGCTATTTCCGGTTTTTGGTAATAGACTTTTTATTAATAAAATAATTTTTATATCATATTAAAGGGCTATTCTAGAGCTATTTAATAAAATTTAAATCATGCCTTCAGCTTAATTACTTTTTGAGATATTTAAAATTAAATATACTGTATTTTGGAATTTTCACGTTTCTAAAGATGGCCATATCTCATGAAGTAAGCCGATTTGAAAAGTAAAATTTTACATTTTTATTAGTTAGTGTATATACTACCAACATAGAAATTTTTAAAAAAATCGAAGGAGGTCGGGTTGAGAATCGACTTTTTTTGGTTGATTTAATATGGAATACAACATATATAAAATATTACGTATAAATATTTTAAAATTATTGCAGTTAATATTACATTGTTAATGCATAATGTGAGTGACACCTGTTTAATTAAAAATGAAAAGTTAATCTTCATTTTATATAAATGAGATTACTAAAAAAGAAGGAAAGTTTCTTTTAGATGATTTTATCGTCCACGATAGCCCATTTTCAAATTATAATATCTATGATTATTAAGAATTGGTAAAATTATATGGAATAAATTGATGCATTATTTGTATTATATTATGTGCCAATATGCTCCCATATGATATGGAATTATTGACTTCTATTTATTTTTGAAAACGCCGAAACAATTGTAAATTTCGATGAATTTTGTAAAAAATACTCAATCCTCCCTTTATGTGCATCAATAAGATGACTTTTGTCATTGATGCACTATCCATTACTATAATACCCTATAAAATACTAATAATCTTTTATTGAATCACGAATTAATAGTCCATTATATGATCCTTTGATTTTATAATGAATAGCACCACCAATTCCTATAGTGCAAACTACTCGATGGTGAAATAGTTATTGTTGACCTCACAATTGAATGGAATCTAGGAAAATAATTCACCGGAAAAAAATCCCAATTTTATAAAGTAATTAAAAATTACAAAATTAATAAAAGTGTAGAAAAAATTCCCTATAAATATATCCACGAAATAGAAATTCTCAAATAAAATAAATTCTGGTGAATTATTTTCTAAGAAATATTATTGTGTATTTATTTTCCGGGGAATTATTTTCTGCTTAACCATTCAACATGTAAATTGATACCTGTTTCGTCTAGAAAATATAATTTTTCTTTGGGAATGTTTACTAGTCTTGGGCAATACACCTGTAAAATATTGATAACTCCTAGGATATTCCTGACAACCTGTTACCAGTTCTTTTTTTCAGACTTGCCAAAGATTTTTGATATTTTTTTTGATGGTTTCTATATTTTTTTTGTCCAACTGGATAATGTACAAATCTTGGAAAACAATTCCCCGGAAAATAATCCCCGTTTTTTAAGATATTAAAAATTACAAAATTAATAAAATATGAGAAATAATTCCCTATAAATATATCCACGAAATAAAAATTCTCAAATTATAAAATCAATTCCGGGGAATTATTTTCTAAGAGTTATTATTGGGGATTTTTTTTCTGGGGAAATTTTTTCCGCTTATCCTTTGAGTGTAAATGTATTATTGACCAGGTTCATATTTTGCCGTTCTATATTTGATGTATTTTTGAACTTTTCCCCCCTTTGTTTCATAATTAAATTCTTTTAGTGGTCGCTAAAATTTATGTTACTATATCTCGTCGGATAGACGCTTTCTACATATTAACATATTTTGCGATGTCCTTAATTTTTATTTGTTCTTTCTCTGACATAAATTATTACCATGTTAATCCTCTTTATTCCAACAATTATATTTTCTTTTAGGTCTTGGAAGAATAATTATTGTTGAAATAATTTAAAATAGATGGATAATTTTGAATCTCATTCTCATATATGCAATATAAAGAATAAATTATATTTCTTGTAATAATTGGGGATGATTTTCCATTTAAGTTATTTATAGAGCTATTAATTTTATGTGAAAGTAGAGAATCTATATTAAAAATAAAATTATATCTTTATGATAAATTATGATTATAATTTACCATATAACTTTTTCATAAAAAGAATTTAAAAAATTACTAAATTAATTTTCATAATTCATTTTTTTAAATATTTTTACAACTTTTTTGAAATTAATTTTTAGACTCCAATCAAAATTCCGAAAATAGAATTTTCAAGTATACGATTTTATACGAAGAAAATGACGAAAGACTCGTGGATACTCTCAAAATTCCTACTGATTTATGCGAAAATCTTGTCAAAATGGAGGAACAAAAATTCCCTAGACCCGGTACATATTCTATTCGTTTTTTTAAGTTCATTATATTCTTAGCCTATTCTTAGTATACACACATAATTTACATGTCACTTGTCATCAATTTTCTTTCTTTTATGCCCTAAAATTAGGAAAAAAGGATGAAGAATGGAAGGAAATAAGGAAAATAAAGAGAGGAAAGAAAGAAATAATTACGATGCCTTTTAAAAATAATTAATTTTTACAAAAATACCTCATTCAAGGTTCAATCAATTCTAAATCCGTCGTCAAGATGGTAGAATTTATTCACGATTCCTATAGCTTCAAATTTTTGCCCTTTCCAACGTAAATCAATTGTTTTTAGAATTCCTTTATTGCTCTAATTAGACCTTTATATTAACGCTGATTTTATCTAGCGATTCATTTTTTTTAAAAAATCGCATCTTCAATCTTTTCTTGTCCTGAAAAAATGGAAATAAACATATTTTCACAAATATTTAAATATCACATTTGGTTTATGAGATATCTAATTTATTACGATTGTCATTATTAGAATTATAATTAGAACATTTCAGTTCAGAGGATTTTTGACAACTGATATAACATCCTTTCAAGAATATAATGATGGTGTTACCCCTATTTTGCCTTTAATTAATAATATACTAACCTTTGCTTATTCAACACTAGCTAAATTGTGGTCACGACAGCTGATTTATCAAAAATTGTATTCGTCTGTTTATAATCACAGGACATTGTCAGATTTAACAACTTATTAATAAAAATGATTAAATTTTATTAAAATTCATTTTAATCTTGAACCCTAGCCCATATCTCTCAAACCTTTAATTTATCCTACCATCGTATTCAAAAATATCAATTTAGTTTTGTTTTTTAAAATGAAAATTGTTTATTGCATATTGAGTAGTAAATGAATAAAATTTAGTTGTTGTTCAAGACTTAATCTTTAATCTTACACATTCAGGTATTTGTTTAATTTTAAATGTATTCCAATTAGAAATCCTTCATTGAGCTACATTTCTATCCGTTATACTTATTATTTTTTTATTTATCTTTCCATAGCTTAGAATTAAATTTTACAATAATCAATTAATTAAATATTTACACGAATTAATGAATTAAAATAAAATTATATAACAAAGGAACAGAAAAGTTAATATACGATTTTAACAAAAATTATATATACAAACACTTAGTGTCGAGATGTTGTACTACTAATCTCTAACCTCTAATTGAAGTGTTATGTTTAGAGGGTTTATCAAGAGGTATAACAATATTATCTCCACTGACTTCCTATATAAAGTGATAATTACCTGTTATCTTAGAAGTTTAGGCCCCCTCCCATGATACAAATGGTATGGTGCTCCTTACCTAATTCCCCTGTACTCTTCTGGGATCTCCGGCCTTGCAGGGACAAAGCTTTACATTACACTAACCGTTTTACTCATTATTAGAAGAAAAAATTATTATTAAACAATATTATAACATTAAATAAAATATATGTATTCTGGACACAGTGTGAATCTCGAACATGAAAATGTCGATCAAAATTTTGTAATAAACTCGATGCCGTCTTTCCAGTATGACGATCATTTTAGAGAAGTTCTGGATCTTGAGTACTTGGTTAGATTCGGTTGGGTTCTGGATACCAATATGTAATTTTAAAAAAAATTTCTAATACAATTATTCTTATATATTAAAATGAATAAGGAAAGAAGGTTTTAAAAAAAAAGAAAAAAAAGAAAGAAGACAAATGAAGCAAAATAATTATTTTTAAAGTGGGATTTCAATACATTTGAAATGAAAGGATATGGTTACAGGGACTCAATAGGGAACAAAGTACTTTGAAAACCTTCGTAATATCAACCGATTCATTTGTCAAAACCGGTGATTCTCGGCAGAATTTGAGCGGTTTAAACAAGGATAATATTTGCGTTTACCCGCTATATCTCGAAACTAGTCAATATTGGATCAACGTAAGCTATATTTATGCGATGTGAATTTATGGCTTGCCCATGTGCTAACCTGGATAAAAGCCATGAACCATCCGTTTGTTTAATATTATATGAATGAGTAGTGGAAATAATGGAATATAATATGGATAAAAAAATAAAGTGGTTTTTAAAAAAAATATAATGACTATCACTTTTCTTAGGTGAGCAATATACTGCATTTCTTGGACCAGGGCGATTCTCCTAATATTTCCGACCCAATCATCTCATTTTTGATTCTAAGCGAGGAATCGGGCTTTAGGCATCTTTATAGAATCGAAGCTCACGTCACGAACGCTTTTAATACCAGCGGGCATGGTGAACCATAATTCTCATAATCCTATACATACTTTATGGAGTTAAACTTAATTATGAAATTTGAAATAAATTTTGACAAGCAAATTTTATAATTGTAAATGTTTTATGGTTCTGGTAAAATATTTATTATTTTAAGAAAATCATTGACTTTAGTCACGATTTAAATCTATTTGATAAAATGATGCCAATACTGCATTATACTTTTTATATTAACCCGACCCCCACCTCATCCCACTTCTCTTTATAAACCGGCACCTATTACTATTTTTAGTTTTCGCTCCCGAAATCGCGTCAAAAATTCAATTAACTCACGGAGAATGGAGTGTAGGTGGCGATAAAGTAAAGATTAAACCTTAGAAAATTCGCTCGTTTCATCTATATAAACATATCATTTCCTGTTTATTATTATATTGTTCTTTCTCTTCTTTTTTTATTATTTTACATGAGAACTAATTTTGATTTTAAGAATGGCAGGCAATTATTTTAAAATAATACTATGCAAGAACGGACAAGAAAGGAAAGAGTTAAGGAAGCACAAAGGTAGGAAAAAAGGAGAATATAAATTTATCTTTTATATTAATAAACAAGCTAGAGTAGTATATATTTTTTTTAAGTTTTTATCATTTCGGATGATGATAGGAAACATAAATGTAAAATGATAAAAATGAAGTGGAAAATCAATGAAAAAATTATTATTTTAGTTGAATTTTATTTTATAATACTAGCTAAGTTCCCACTTTAGGGGATATTGATTAATAAATTTGAATTCAGTAGTTATTTATTAATCTGAATTGAGCTACCGGTTGGGTACATTTATATTTAGTATTTATTTGTAATAATTTAGCGATTATTTGTATCATATTCAAAAGGTATCTCGTATTTTACAAAGAACTTTTAATTTTTTTTTAAAAATTATATTTTACAAATTGAATATAAATATAAAATTTCACAATTTATTTATTTAATATTAATTTTATGATCCAAGTTGGAGAAAATAATCATGATCCCATCTTTCCTATTTTATTGAAAGCTGCAACATTCATTCATTCCTAGAAATAAAATTAAACTAATGCAATAAATTTTTGAAGAAGATTATATAGAATCAAATAAAATATCTCCAAGTAAAAAAAAAATATCTTTTTCTAAAAAGTGTTCTTCAAATATTTATATTCCAATACTTTTTTTGTACTCTAGTTATATTTATGCTCGAATTTATTTTTCTAAAAAATTTGCCCAACCCTGACTATTACTATTAGGGAGTCGAATAGTGAATTATTCGTACTGAATTTTTTTTGAACAAATCGAATAATGTTCGAATAAAAATATATATTATCATTCATATGAATACGAATAGTATATTTAGAATAGTTTTTGAATAGGCCTAGTAACCATAACAAAGGCCAATCAAAGGTCTAAAATCCCACCAACACTTTTATGATTGATTTTTTGAATCCCGTTTTTTTCTCTAGAAAAAAGTAGATAGATTTAGATCAGATAGTATACTTTCCAAAATATTTAATGAACATGCGAATTTGTTGAATTTGAATTTATATTTTTTATATAAAAAATATTTGATTGCATAGATTTGGGTGAACGAGAAGAAAGGATTGCTACATTTTATGGCGAATAAGGATGGTCCTTTGGAAAAACACTTGTAATAAATAATACTTCCTCCCCATTATCTATAAATTATTATTTTGTTCAGGAAAAAAAAGAAACTAAACATTTTTTTCGACCCCATAGATTTTACTGAATTTTGAAAAACAAACATTCTTTATAATCGCTTGGAATTTTTTTCCACAATTAATCATTTATTTTTTAAAAACGTTACCCTGCATTCATAGTTACCGCAAATTCGCGGCGAAGTATATAAAAATACAGTACTTCGCTACGAATTCGTTCTAACTATAAATAAGTGGTTAGACCTTATATTTTAATAGTAGTCAGTGACGTCGTCTAAATTTTATATGAACGAAACGAAAGATGAATTGTTTAACGTTCCTAAGTCCGCATTTATAGCAAATGCTAAAATTAGCACGATCTCTCTCCCCATATCGATGAGAGGAGAAATGCCAAAGCAGATACATCGCTATGAAAAGCGATATCGTTTCTATTTTAGTTCTTGCTGTAAATCTATTTTTGGGCTTTGCAATGTAACAGCTGATAATGTTTTTAAAAAATGAGATTAATTTTCCTTTATTAATATTTAATTATAATTTTTTTTATTAAGATTTTACTTTCTTTCCTTCAAGAAAAATTGATCTCATTAAATTTTTTCTATAAATTTGATCAGCTGCTACATGGCGTTGCATCACGCTTATTATAAATGTGACCTAATTGATAAGAGTCAGCGATCCCACTTATGGCAATAGTAGTTAACTTTAACTTTTGGAATATTTATATAAATAATTTTTTTTAAATATAAAATTAACTTTTCCTTTTCAATCTATAAAATGTCTAAATTTATAAATGATTAAAACAGGTACGTTACATCTTACTCATGTCCAACAGAATCGTACAGACTCACCAAGCTTGGTTGTTCCCATAATATTCACATGGATAAAGTTTGCATTACATATATGTATATAGAATGAATGAAAAAAAGAAAAGAGACGTGTTTTCATCCCTTAAAGGACATAAAAAGTGATATTATTTGTAATAGGGTTTGTTTATGTACAATTATAATACAGTTTGATTCTACTTGTCCAATACTTTCGAGGCCTGTTTATACATTTATGAATGGAAAAGTTTATAAGGTGTTCAAATTATGAAGTTAAAATCAAAATCAATACGTTAATCACTCATATTTAATTTCCACATTTTTTTACATATTCACATCGAAGAGAGAGACTATCAAAATTATCTGGGAATTTTTCCTTGTCAAAATTTTAATTTAAAAAAAATCACGCCCATATAGAAGACTACTTATTCATGACTTTAGGATCATCTTAGAATTTTATGAAAATCATCTAAAATCACGATACTTCCTAGTAGATGTGGAAATGTATTGTGATTTCTCCAAAATTTAAAATGTTTCCTAAGAAATATTGATACTTTGTATTTAGATACCTTTCGAGTGTCCTCATTATCATTCTATAAACTTCATTATTATTTTCTTTTCTTGATAAATATTTTTGTGAGTCGAGACTATTTACTATATCGGAAGTTGGTATCTCTGTGGCATTATTATTTTTAAAGCACCTAAGAATGATTATTCTTTTTCTGTTTCTTTTATTTTGGATAGCTTATAGCTTATTTTTATCAATTTCTAAAATGTTTGATTAGTTCCTATTTTTTATTAACAAATAGTTTGAACCGTGAAATTTAAATAGGAACTTAAATGATATTTTTTTAATCGTGTATTAATGTCATTTTGCTCTCTCTCTCTTAATTAAACCTTTCTATTCGTTTTGGATAATTCAAATAAAAACGAATAGGAATATTAAATTATTCATTTTTATAAATATTAATATGTATAATTTTAAAACGGTTAAATTCGAGAATTTTAAAATGAAATGATAATGATTTAAAGTCATATACTCCAACATTCTTAAATTGCATTAGATATAGTAGGCAAAAAAATAATTATCCAAAAATATTAGTCGGATAAATTTTCCAACCGATATTTAATATGGTTTCCCTTATTTTATTGATGAGAATTTTAAATAAAATATTCTGTCAATATATTTTTGTATGAATTATTTTATAATATTTTTAAAATGCGAATTATTCTAATAATTTGAATCGAAAAGGAATAGTATATATTTTATAATTCGTATTTGTTTTTAAACATGCCTTTAATTATCAAGATTTTATCATCATGATAAACATAAAAAATTTTATTTCACGAAGGGTAAGAAGCATAATAATAATTTTTTAAAAAAAATAGTTTATTCTCTGATTTTCTTTTAATGTTTACTAAAATTAAACATTGCAAAACCTTGATATTTCGCGAGTATCTGTCCAAACATGATATACTCATATTAGCGAAATATTACTTAATTCATCGAATAGAATAATTAGAACTAGTTGTATTTATCAAAGAGTATATATCTTCTTATTAGATATTCCCTTTATTTAAAAAAAAATGTTTTTTGATATTTTTAAAAAGAATTGCAAAATATTTGTGGATTGTTTTAGCAACGCGGAGACTCCCACACATATAAACGTTTATGATATCCACGACGCTGAAACCGGGAGTTTGGACCGGCTAGAAGTTTCCCTCATAGCCGTCCTACATCGCCCCGATGATTATAGTAAATTAATTAACTCATTTCTCATTAAAATTATTTATTTATTTTGATTTGCTAGTTTGAAAAAAAAATTCTAAAATTTAAAGGATTTTTTTATGAATATCTTTTTACTTCCCTTACCGTTTGAGTTTCGTGGCCCCACTCAGGGTTAGAACGAATTGCTATAACGCTTCGAATTTATATAATTTTATTTATGGATTTTACCACTAATCTTCTTTCAAATTACTTAAAGAATCCCGGACATAGATTTCCTTAGGTCCGGTTTTTAAAAAAAATATAAAACAATCATACCAAAATATCTCGACAAAAGAAGAATATTGGGTAAAAGCACATTTATTTTGAGATATATTTTTAAAAGTCTTGGAAAAAAGGGAGGAAATTTTTTAAACTTAATTTAGGGCTAATGTCCAAATCTTATTATTGCTTTTCCTATTTATATTGGGTTGGTTCTGGTTCATTTTTTCGACTAAAAATCAGGGTCTAACTATTTAACCACACTATCAATGCCTCACTCTGGCTTGTTTAGGAGCACTGCCTTCTTTTTAATCCCATTGAAATAAACATGAATCGCCTATAAGATATATAAAATATTTCTTAGTTTCTTTGCATAATGATATAATTGAGCAATTATTAAATTAATCGATGACAATGGCACCAAATAAAAGTCGCCTTTGAGACCTCCGCTCTAATCAAAAGCCTGAACTCCCTATATGATCCTTTAGACGCATTATCATAACTTTGTCCGACTAAGAATTCTAGGAGTGGATTTATTGAATTTTTGTAAATTATATTTTTTTTATATGAGCACCAGTTGTGTTACCAGTTCAACATAAATAACCTTTGAACTAATTTTTTCACCATTTTTCCATATATCTTATGATCAACGCGATTGCTTCTGATTTAGAACCATCAACTATAATTGAGTAGAATTAAGCTTCTATTTTTTTAATAAATCTTTTTGAATCCATATTTTTTGTAGTTTTTAAGTGGTATATATATATTAGTATATAATAAAGGGTTAGAAAATAACCAAGAAATTTTATTATTATTCTAATGATAGAGCAATTATTATTAATACATTCTTTTTGGGGCGTTAGATTTTTGCTTTGGTCAAGTCACCCATAATCAGCCATCAAATGTATGTATGAATTTTCATGTACTATAAATACTACCATTGATATTCTGCTATTTATCTAAGCTTTCATCAATTTTAAATTTGAATATAGACCTCCAAATAAGAGGCCCTTTGAACAAAAGATCGTATTTATTTTAGTAAATTAATTCAATTTTTTAAATGTTAGTTTTCTCATAGAAACTTGTCTTATAAGAATCTATTATTGTTATCGTCTTTCGGAAATAAATAATCTTCAAGTTGGAGAGATTTAAAAACAATTCAAATTTTGATCCTTTCTTTTACCTGAATATTTATTTCACGAATGCACACTAAAAAAAATATACAAGATATTAAAAGGTACGCCCTTCCTCCTCCTCAATTCTTTACCTTCCCGGTCAAACATGATATCATAAATTACCAAAATTTGGGCTTATCATTAAACAACGTGATCACCAAAACTAGAAACGATGATGATGATGCTGATAGTAAAAAAACTACGATGTTGCATGGCATGATATTCAAGCCTTTTCGAATTGAAATAGAACCTAATTTGAGTAATTTGGCAAGCATGGCAACTGATATAGCCAACTTCGAAAAGGAACTGCGTCACGAATATTGCTATGATGACGAAGAGAATCTAGGCCACAATATCCGAAATGCGGATCACGGCTTGGCCTATAATGATGGACCTGGTTGTGAAATGGGTCATTTGGATCCTCAAATGAGCGAAACTAACGGGTTAGGCAGCGATTCGCTTACAGACACCATTAAAAATGACGGCTCGGGTCGGTCCAAAAACGGTCGGTTAGAACCTCGCGCCATAAGTCCTATTAAAACGGTCTTTAACACTAATGGTCATTTTATTGATCCGCAAGAAAGTTTACCGATGGAAAAAGTTAACGAAAAGACTAAAAAGAAACCCACTCTGTTATACCTATATGGCGGACCTCACGTTCAACAAGTCACCAATACTTACAAAGGAAATTTGTGAGTGTTTTTAGGACTTACTTTTATATATTTTACTATTCTGAAATCAAAATTTATAATAAACTATATTTAGGCAACGGACTACTGAGAATTTTTATTACTAGGAAATCTTTTGTTATTTAAGAATTTTTCGGTATGCATATTTTTGTTAATATTGCGCAGAGAAAGAAGTGGTAGAAAATATAGGAATCGAAGGTTAGATATTTTGGTGAGTAAATTGGCCCTTTTAGATATGATACTAGATTTTTTTGTTTTAAAATGAAAATAATATGAGAGAATGTTAAGATGTGTTTTGTTCCAGTAGAAAAATAATAATTGGCTCTAAATGAGTAAACTAGATCCAAGTTATCAGCACCAAGCTAGTCGTTAAAATGATATAGCTATATTCTAGAGTAACGGAGTGAGAAAAAAAACTGTAATGGTGAGAACTTCCAAAATATCCTAAAAATTGGATTGTATGATGCTTTAACATTTAATCTGGAGTGATTATAAAATGACTGAATATTATACGACTCCTCCATATTTATTATTAGCACTTTAGAATTATTAAATTAGCTTTTTAAAGATTTAGAATGAATGATGAAAATTACTCAATGTAATCTCTAAATACCCTAATTGAAATTAAACTATTTCCTCAGTGTATTTGAGACCTAATTCATAAAGATAATTATATTTTTAAAGTTATCTCAGATTGTACAATCTCAACGCCTTGGGTTTTACTTGCGTGGTTATTGACAATAGGGGAAGTTTTAATAGGGGTATAGCTTTCGAAGGATTCATCAAACATAAAATGGTAATTTAATATATCTTTTTTATATACCCCACTTGTAACTTAACAAAATCATATAAAAATTTATCAAAAAGCTTTAGTAGGATATAAGAAAATAAAGAAAAAAGAGGTTTTAACAAACTTATTTTTAACGATTTTGAGAAAAATTCAAGTTTTTAATATCGATATTTTACAATATCAAGTTTTTTTTTAAATATTACTTTATTAAAAACTTGTATTTAAGGGTACTATAGAATTAGACGACCAAATAGAGGGCCTCAAATACATCTCCGAAAAAACTGGTTTGATTGATATGGATCGAGTAGCCATACATGGCTGGTCTTACGGTAGAAACTTTAAAAAAAATTTAAATAACCCTTATTTTTTTATGAATTTTACGTTAACTTGTTTTTCTATAAAGATTTTATTTTAACAATTTAATCCGTGGTTTAAAGGCAATAGATAAAAAATATTTAAACAATAAATAAACCCTTCTAAAAGGAATCGCAACAATTTAAACTATATATATATATATATAGTTATATCAATTATTTGCACTTTTGTTAGATCTGGTTTCTATTAGGGCTCCTGTTCATAATAAATTGTAAGAGATGGGGTTCTAGTTCCAGCTTCAAAAAAAATCTGTTTATACTTTCTAATTCATTTTTCTATTTTAGACGAATGACTATCTTTGTAAGCAGCAAAAGGTAATTAATTTAAAGAGTATTAGCTACAACATAAAAGATAGAAGTTTCCTTAATAATTGTTACGTAATGTACCCCCTTCTAAATTTAACAAATATTAGCCATTAAAATCTTCATTGAATTTTCCGGTATATATATTTTTTAAGGATTCTAAGTTTTTTTTTAAAAACTTTATAGGCGGATACTTATCTCTTATGGGCCTAATAACCAAACTCCATTCCTTCAAAATGGCTATATCAGGAGCTCCGGTTACTACCTGGTCTCAATACGATACTGGTTACACGGAGAGATACATGGGAGTTTTGACTGGAAGATTTCCTAATTCGAACATCGTTGAAAAGGCTCATTTATTTCCGGACGAGTTGAATTTTATTTATATTTCTTGATTTTTCATTAAATTTTTGTTATTTCTTGATATCAAAAAGTATTTAAGAAAAGAATTTTTTAGCTCCAGAATCTTGAAAAAAAATCCCCCGTTATACTGGCTAAAACGTATTATAATTTAAAACTAATCTTCAATTTCTTGGCTTTGGGGATTCATGAAAAATATTATTCTTTCTTTTAAATTACATTAAAAGCATACATATATTAATATAAAATTTAAAAAATTAATCATTAAAAAAAGAAAAATAACAAAAGTTTTTTTAAAAAAGGTATTTAAAAAAAAATTAAATTTAAATAAATTTTGAAGGAAAGTTAGGGACGAGATTAAAATATTTTAACAAAATTGTTTATCATCTAAATTTTGAGCAGGATATTCTTATATTTTTTTACTAATATATATAATTTTAAAATTTAAATAGAGAAAACAGATTGTTGTTAATCCACGGACTGATGGATGAAAATGTTCATTTCCACAATACCGCACTATTGATCCAGGAATTGATAAAGCACAACAAACCTTACAGACTATTGGTTATAAAAAATAACTCTAAATATTGTTTAAATAATAATTTTTGGATTGATGGAAGATTAAATTCGCTATAGTATTTTTTTTGGAAATTATAATATATATTCTCGAACAAACCTATCTATCACCAGAGTATAGCATGGGCCATCACGATTTATTTTTTCCTAGGTCATCACAGAAATTTATTATTTGAAACTTCGCTTGCTTGTCTTGACTATTGTTGGGTAATTACTATAATTTTAGCCGTTTAAGCCAATTTTTAGCCGGCATCGGCTAAGTTGTTAGTCGAAAATTATCATTTTGGCCTTGGAGTTTTTCTTAAAAAGATAGCAGCTCAAATTTGGAAAAACTAATATAAATTAGAACTTCATGTTAGCGAATTTTCTCCGACAAGCGCTTGAAGTTTACGCCGAATTAGTCGGCATTTAGTCATTACCCAACTATGATCTTGACTTCTAATCCATTACCAACCCGTAAAAATTACAAATCTATAAACTTCTGGAAAATTAAAAAATGTATAAGAAAAACAAGACAATTATATTTTTATCCTAATAGTTATTTCTGCCAATCTGCCCTGGACTTTTTTCGCACTTAATATTTAAATTTTTTAAAGTTTACTAAGTTATTTTAAAATAATTTCACTAACGAACGCAAAGAGTGTAGAATTTTTTTAAAAATTTTTAATTGAGACTGAAATTACAATTAAGGTTTTCCTTTTTGACAAAATTAAAAATATTTGACCTAATGTTCTTTTAACTGTAGAAAAGTAAAATATATAGAAGTGGACCGAACCCATATTTACAGCTCTTTTTTCTCGGACCTGCACCCGAAATCACTATGAATCCAAACCCGATTATTTCTTCAACCCCTGGTTCAGGAAATATTATGTAAAATATAAAAGTTAAACAAAACTAAATAATTATTTTGATTTTCCTGGGCACGTCTAAAAATTTTTTTTTTTTTGCATTTCAAATTCTACCAAATTATTTGAAAGAAAATTAAAAGGTTATTTTTAAAAATTAATCAAATATTTGGGGTCCTTTCAGATTCTTATTCTAAACTTCTAAGCGTTCGTGATTTATATTTTTAATTTTTATTATACTTTTAAAACATATTTACAAAAACATTTTATTAATTTGAAAAAAAAACTAGGGCTGTGCCCATATTAAGTATCGAATCGGGCCACTTGAAAAAAAATCGATCCGATCTTTTTACTTTTCTTTTTTTTTGTTATTTTATGTATATTTATTTTATATTTAATTAAATTTTCTACATAATTTTTTTTTAAACAATGCAAATGCACAACACCTTTTAAATTTTAATTATTTTTTTAAATAGATTTATAGTATTTTAAAAGTTTTTTTATAAACATAGAAAGGAACACTCAAAGTTTTATTTATTTTAAATCTTTTTAATAATAACGCCAATTTTATTATTTATACTTTAAATAATAGAATTTTTTTAAATATGGTATCTGAATTATGGAAATATTTTACAAAAGACAAAGATAATTATGCAATATGCGTTATCGCGGAATTCGAATTTAACTGGGAGGAATAATGAAAAATTCATTTAATACTACCAATAAAAAAAAAAATTAAATGCATAATTCTATTTTTTGCATAAAAAATATTGATTTCTTAATTACATTGGTTCAAAGGGGGGTGGTGAAAAATCAATATAAATATCGGATTGGGTTTGGACCAATATTGGATCTGATCGGTGAAAAATATGTGGATCGGCACAGCCCTAAAAAACATTTATATCTCTTTGAAATATATAATTTTTTCTTAATAAATTCGATTATAAAAATAAATTTAATTTCAAAACCAACAAAAAAATATCTCTTTTTAAATTTAAAAAATCAAAGTGTCTTCTATAAAAAAAAATTATCTTTTTTCTATATAAACACATAAAAAATATGCTATAAACAAACTATTTATAAATAACTACGATCCAATAATGCTGACGATGATTTTTATATAAAAGAAATGAACTTATAAAAAAAATATGTAATTGAATTATCAAAAAATATTATTAAAACAAAAATATTCTAAAGAAACACTAGTTATATTAAATATGCCAATTATATTTTTGTTTTATATAAATTATATTGATATCCATAATTAGATTTTTTGTAAGAAATCTACCAAATATAGGAAAAGGGGCATTTAATCCAAAATTTAAATAAATATTAATTCATTTTCTTTTTATTTAATAAATCACATTGTTTTTGCGAATCTTTATATATTACTAAATAATTTTAATAAATATTTGAGTGACTAAAAAAACCATGAATAATATTGATTTAAGCCCTAAATTTACTGCATTCTTCTTAAGTTTTTTTAATAGACATATTTTAAACGATCTACTAAAATAAATTATCACTCTTTCTTAAAATTGTCAGAACCGGACCTTTCGACCTGTTTATACCCTGTAGTGTTTTTAAATCATATAGCCAATTCCAAATTTGCTTAATCTTTAAGTTAAGGCTCAACTTAGAGGTAACTCAACATTTAAGGCTAAAATCTTGGCTAAGGCCGAATTTTAGTTGGCCATGGTAAGGTAATTTAAACGAATCCCATTTTTTAAAAATTTCTATACCGAATTAAGCAGAAATTTTTGCTGAGTTTAGAACCCTGATATTTATCCAATGTAGAATTTGTTTTTTTAAATTAAAAATAGAGAAAAGAAATATCAACAATTTTTTTATTATTATATTTTTATTAAATGTTTATTTATAAACTTATTTTTGTCCAGATTTATCCTAATGAAAGACATGGATTAAGAAATTATGACTCTTGCAAACATTTCGAAATATCATTTTTCAAATTTTTATGCGATTATCTCTAAAATTTCAATTTAAAATATTATTTTATATTTTAAAAAATTGTTAAAAATTTATCCCAAAACTTAATATGACTTTTAACAATTTAAAAAAATATCAATAATTTTCTTGTAAATTAAGTTTATCGCGCGATATGGGATTCTACCTTCAATTTTAGTCATGTTCAGTATCAAAATCCTATCAGCAAAGGTTTTCCCCTAACCCATTTACCTTAAATACCATATTACAAAAATTAATTTTATACAGTTTTTATCATCAAGTCACGATGTTTCAAAATACATGATATTTGACTAGGAACTTTTAAATTGCAATTATTTATCAAAGTTTAGTCTTAATTGCATCTTTTTTAGACTTCTAATAAGTCTTTGGAATGTTATGTATATTTTATTATAATATTGTAATATTTTATATGATTATTTTTAACCATTTTCTGTATAAATGTGAGAAAAATCATTAATTTATATAGTTTTATTTATATATATATATATACTATAGTATATTTATATTCTAATATAAAGGAATCGCTTATTGGTATCTTTTTTATAATTTAAAATAAAAATTTTAAAGAAGTATTTAAAAAAAATATTTATGAGGTAATATTTTGGTGTTTAAAAAATTCTAATTTTTTTATATTGAGGAAAAAAATTACAATTTTTTATTATAAATTTAGGTTTAATGAATAGGAACGTCAATTTGTCTTGATATATTAATTATTTTAGACGAACGCATTCTGTCAAACGGACTGTTTTAAAACGGATTTTTTCAGTGTGGAGGCCTATTGTAGGACGCCCTAAATTTTGAAATCGGGCGCTTCTTATCGCCAATTCATGATGATACATATAACGCAAATTTTAGGGCTCAACGCATGCTAAGGTGCATTTTTTCATCAACTAAGAATAAATGATTCTAATATTATTTAAATGTCAACAGAAATAAATAAAAATTTACCAAAAACAAATAGATGGCGAAAAAAAATATGTATTGTAAAAATGAATACTTACCTAAATAAACTCAACTTTTAGCCCTACATTAAAGAGCCAGTGATTCTTTTGTATGACACTATATAAAAAAAGATGATCGGCAGATGGTCAAAATTTTAGGCCAGGATTTGAACCCGACCCAGGTTTAAAAAAAAAATTAAAAGACCATTCCGAGATTTTAATTTTCGATTATTTTTTGGATCAAAGCGATATTTTTAAAATTTCATTATTTTGAATAATTTTGCAAGTTGTTTCAAAAGGAAATGAAATATGAGGAATAAATACATTACATTATTTGATTTTCCAACTAATTTATTTTTTAATTTTAAAAATTTATATATCAACAGGCTGATTGTGCTATTTTATCTTTGATGTAGATGATTGGCTTCAATATTTTTTATTACTATTCAAATGTTCAATAATCTCTTTCATTTTTGAAGAATATACAGTATAATTTTTAATAAAAATATAAATTCCTGAATTTTTTATTAAAAAATAACTTAGCTTTTTCAATAATTGCAGATAAATCTTTTAAAAATTTATTTACATTTTTTAATCACTAGCTAAGCATATTGTCAAGGAAAACATTAAAAATTGAAATTATGATTGCCAAAGATAATTTTTCAATTTCATATCTTTTTCAGAATTATCATTTTAAAAGGAATCAGGAAAAATATCTACGTTAAGTTCTCTAAAACAATAGCTTCATAGTTTTATTCATAATATATATTTATTTAAACAAAGTTTTTTTAAATCAGGTTGATATGCATTAAAAACTCGGTTTAAATTTTTTATATTAATGTAATTCTATTGTACAATAAATATGTTTTTCTTTTTAATATTTTTTAAGAAAAAATTTAAAGTTTTGTGTTACCGTTACTCAAAAGAAAGAAACGCGTTACCGTTACTCGTTACCTCTAGAAAAAGGTAACGAATGTAGTTACTTTTTACCTTTTTTGACGTTACTTTACAGCACTAAATAAAACTAATAACTGATGATAAGAAGCTTTAGGCAATATTTAATTTAACATTTTCATTTATATTAAAGCATAAAATATCAATATAATTTGCTTATTATACATAATAAAATTAGTCGTAGGGCGGACAATTTCTATATACGATTTTTAAGGATGGGCGAACTTTTCTCCATTAATGATATGGTTATCCCAATTACGCCTAAAACGAATTATTTGATTCGATTCGTATTTCACTAATACGAATATCACAATTATTTGATTTGAATCGAATATGAATATTTAGAAAAAGTATTCGACGAATAGTAAATTTTTATTATTCGATTCGAAGTTATTCGTAAATATTCAAAATTATTTATAAATATTCGTTAATATTCATCATTTTTCGTTAATATTCGTAAATCGTAAGTAAATAATAAATAAAATTAAATTTTCCTAGTGGATTTCATTTTATTTTACTTTATTTTTTTCCTCTTATAAATCATATGTTATATTTTGTTTGATGCCCCAATAAATTAAATTATTTAATTATATTTTATTTATATATTTGTGAAAAAGAAATATAATTTTCTAAGAGCTAAAATTTTAAGTTATGATTTTTTGGGTATAAATTTCAAAATGGACAAATACAAAATTAAAATAAAATTGTCAAAATAAGAAAGGATGAAAGATGGAAGCATTTCATCGATTGCAACATATTGTCCAACACTATAAGACAGTTTTCATTAAAATTATCAAACATATCTATGAATCCTCAATCTCTGAATTGTGATTGCTATCTAATAAAAATCATCATCACTTGATTCAAAATCTATTACCTATATAATTGTTATAGAATTACTCTCATTAGAATAATTTAAATTATAAATCATATGTTCAATTTAAATCATAATCAATCAAAATATAGAAATAAATTTATATATTAACCTGCCATATATAATCATAATTAGTAACAAAAAATGTAATTACACAGGTAGGGAATTTTAACACAAGTTCGACAAATTACATATATCTCGTCAAATCAATAATCATGAAATTTGGAAGTTGTATTCCTTGTTACAAATATTAAACTACCAGGTCAGAATATCTACTAGGTTTTGTATTACAAAGATTATGTTGTATTTACCCCACCTGTGTAATGAAGGGTTAAAAATATTACTATTGTTATGAAGGATTAACTGATTTATGTTTCTTAAGTTGTTTTAAATATTTTTTCTTTCAGCTGCTAATGTATCATTGATCTGGACAGGAAGGATGGTAAACTTAGTTTTTATATAATTTTGAATATATTCAAAGATCAATTTGAAAATCTTGATGGAGAAGGAGGTGGTGATGGATAAAGCCAATCCTCAACTAGTTCTACATCTATCCAATCAATATCTGATCAAGCTGGACCCATTAATGCAAGGCGGAAAAATTCCTTAATATGGAATCATTATCTTTATGATTCTAAAGCAGAAACTGCCAAATGTAAAATATGCAAGGTAGAAATAATGTGTAAGAAAATAACCACCTCTGCACTAATTAATCATAATAAAAGATTCAAAATAATAATACAATAGAAAACTATTTAAATGATTTAACCAACAAATATTGATGACATTAAACATTATTTATTAAAATTTTTGCTCAAGTCGAATATACCATTTAAAATTCTTGCCACAATGAATTATAATCATTTGTTAGTGCTTTAAATCCTAACGTAAAAATTTGTTAAATACCCACAATTAAACTATATACGAGTGAATTCAATAGTTAAAATAATTATAAATAATTTAAAATGCCAATTCAACTATACCACCGACATGTGGTCAAGCCCTACTAATGTACCATTTTTGGTTGACCTGCCACTTGATAGATGAAAAATGGAAGATGAAGTCATTGTTCAGGGGCGTCGCTAGCCTTTACAATCTCAGGGGGCTCAACTGAAAATATTTAATGGGGGCTTTGCCCCCCATACCCCCATTTGCAAGGTCGGGTTTTATATTAATATATTATACTTTTTTAAAATTTGCTAACTCTGAATAATTATTCTGAATTTCATATTTTGTCATTTATTATATTATGCATACAAAATAAACTAGCATATAAATAATTAAAACAATATAAGACATTTCTAAAAATATTATTTTTAATACAAAATCTATTTATTACAGTATAAAATATAAAAAAATTTTGCGTCTAAAGAATTACTAATGATAAAAAAAGTTAATTAATTCATACATATGCCTCAATTGATAATGGTTTTTAAAAACTACATATTATAAAATTAGCGACTTACATTGACAAAAGGTCAAGAAACTAATATAACACTCTGTTACCATTTTTGACAAGTTTTATAGAATGGACTAATAAGGAAAAATTTATAGGCCTAACCAAATCAACAATTCTTAGAGAAGAGAAAATAAACGACCAATCCAAATCATAAAACTGTATGGTGGTTAGAGCTTCCTCTTAAATGACACGATGGAAACTTGATAAGTAATTGAGAAAAAAATTGTGAGATATTAAATTTCTAAAAGATTATCTTCCATTTTTAATGACATATAAACAACTACACAGTTGACCACTATTGCTTATAAAATATGCAATCATATGCTCTCAGCAGCTGTAATAATAATCTTAAATTACATAGTGTTGCAGGTGCTCTATTGTACGCTATTATTTTATTACTTATATTTAAAATGTCAGTTATATTTAAATAATTATATTTAAATGTTAAGTTATATATCTTAAGGCAACAGAATATATATATATATTTATTTAAAATAACTTATTTTTTTTGCTTGTATAAAAATAACTAGTAATTCCTTTTTTGTAAATTATATAAATAAAAGATATATTTAATTATTCTAATTTGAACTTTTCCACCATTGCTCAATAATATATTCAAAATTATTCTAAATCAAAATTATTCTAAATTGAACCTTACTCCCAGTTCAATATGGTGGAGGATAGTAATGATGTAAACATCACGCGTATTTTGGAGTTGTTCAATACAAAACCGGACACACTTGAGTCTTCCAGAGAGTATTTCGATAGACTGAAAGCTCACTATTATTATAATAATATTTTTTATAAATATAAATTTTTTTATCAAAACTATGGATTTGTCCTAATTTCGATAGGGGTATGAGGCGCCCTATAATTGCGCTATGAAGGTGGCCTTATCCCCCCCCCACACTATCAAGCCTTAAAAATTATAGATAATAGGACAAAATGAGCATAAATATATGGTATTTTATTTATAAACAAACTTTATGCTAATATGGGAATCATTAAAAAATAAGGCTAAGGTGGCTTTTCTGTGAGGTAACTTGTAAAAAAGATAAATGCTCAACGGAGAGATCTAAGTGATCGGATGCATGTGAACGTGAATACCGAGCATTGAAAAAAATGGGTAGTGGTAGATGTAAATAGGGTTTTAATGGATGGGTTGGTTTGGAAAGGAATAGATGACTATATGTATTTTAATATAACTGCCGAGTATTAGTGGTAGCGGCAGATAGTGGAGTAAAGAATGAGAAAGGGAGAGAAATATAGGAGACATAATCGGTTTTAGTGAAAAAAAATAAAATTTTTAAATATAATAACAAATATTACTAAATTTAAATCTATATGAAAATAATGAGAAAAGAAAAAAGGCCAAAATGTTGAGTGCGAATTCTCTAAAAACTATTGATAAGATTGTTGGGATTAAATATGACGAGTAAAAAATCTTATAAAATTTAAACCAACTGTTGAAATGTATAGTTGCATAAAAATGAGTTTTTTGGTCTGATCGTTGAATTCTTAGTGTCAAGTATCGGAGATAGAAATAGGGAAGAGCTTTAAGGTCGAAAAAGGGTAAACAGGGATAAAATTCTAAGTATTTGTTAAAATGGGGAAATGATTTCATTAATTTTGAGGTTTGGGGTGCCAATACCTTTATATTTTGCTCATAACTATAAAATGTTGCACAATCGGCTAAAAATCTAGCCTAAGCCCAATTAAATATAGCCTAAAAATCGATTAATCCTAATTAGGCATAGCCTAAAAATCGGCTATTACTAATTAGTATAATATTAAGCATCGGCTAATCCACCGTCATAAATTAATTTTTTTTATGGCAACTAATTTTTAAAACCCGTTTCTTATCCGTCTATTTGGTTTCTTTTTAACCAGTCAATGTAAAACAACTTTTTACTAACTAGATTTTCAGCAAAAGTCTAGTAATTTCTAGAGCTGGGCAGAAATCAGATACGTTTAAATGTCATAGAACTTAATCCTATATTTTGTAATAAAATTTTATAATCTTAGAGCCATTAACTATGGAACATTCTTTTAAAGTGGCTCAAGTATTTTAAAATAGTTATGAATGCAAGTAATGTTTTTATATTACGGTCCAAGTGGTTTTCATTTATGCTTGTCATTGATTCACGTACACGTAATATTTATATGCTTATAAAGGCTACTCTTTAGCTAGACTATATAGCAATAATTATATCCCCTTGGAAAAGGTCCGTGATGTTGGCAGAACGACTTGATAAATTCCGAAAATGCCAATATTTTGTGCCTAAATGATATTCGAACCAGACATCACCGGAATTAAAGGTAGTGAGTTATAAGCAAAATAATAAAGTGTAAAATTTTAAACTCGCAGAACGACATGAGGATCAAATTAACTTATGCCATTGAGTAGCCCATTAATTAATCTTCAAATCGGATACCAGAAGAAAAATTGGCAAATTACCAATATCAAAAATAACAGCAGATTCTAAAACATGTCCTTATTTAGTTCTTTATTTGTGCTTATATATTCTCTAAACCGAATATTAGCAGCACTAACCGTAGTTATAGCGAATGTAAAAGTGTGAGGTTGGCGGAATGACTTGAAAAAAGTAAGGATTAAATTCTTAAATTTAGACCATTATGTAGTAACGTAATTGATCCTCCACAATTCTCAAATCGGAGAAATTAACCGTTTATAGTTAGTTTGCGTAGCTAAACCTAATTAGGCTTAATCCAAAAATTTGCTTAAACTAATTAGACATTGGCTAAGGAGCTCGACTAATCATCCTTGGCATTATGTAAGATAAGCCAAGTCCCGTTGTTTCTATACTAGCAAATCTTTTTTGTATAATTAATTTGATATATTAAATTTAAATAATAAATATAAATATTCCTATTCTCTATCAGTTTAGTCTTGTATATTATAAAAACTATTCAGAAATATATTAACAAATTAAATTTAAGCAAAATTTCCAGTTTAATTTAAAATTGTATCGCATTAAGTACATAACTTAGCGCATGTATTCAGAATGAAATCCTACATTCAATTTAAAGAGTTTATATTTTTCTAAGTATTTCATAGCAGCAAAGAAATTATTCAGTTACATTATTTCCTCATGTCAGTCTAGAGCTTTACTTATTTAAACTAATCAATCCCTAAAGTTGTTAAAATATCTAGATACAAAAATGTCGTATCTGTTTCTATATCTAGACACACTTTTATAAAAGGCATCTATATCCAGATACTATCGTAGATATATCTATATCTGTTTTTAGATACATTTTGATATACTTTTATTTAAAGCTTTTTATCTAAAAAATAAAAATATTTCAATATAAAATTCATTTTATCTCATGAGTACATAATTTAAATAAATATTTATTGAAATGACTAATATAATAAATATATATATAATTTTTTTCCCCATTTAAAACAATGGACATAATTTCAAGATTGTGAAGGATATTTTTATCATGTAGAGGAATATATAAATCCTTGCTTAGCCTTGACGCCTATTAATTAATAAAAACAATACCATTGATGCACAAAATTCTTTTAGCAAATAAATTTATTTAGAATTTTTTAAAATAATATTATAGATATTCCGCTATTAATAAATAAATTTTTTTGCTCGTTTTAAATAAAAATCTGCTCGAAAGAACGATAAAAATAGTTGTATTGACATTTTTTCAAAATATAAAAATGTGTTTACGTATTTTGTCCTCTCATAATAAAAGTTTCTATTTGAGAACAACGGCGAACCCTGTATATAAATATAATAAAAATTGTATCTGTATCTATATCCATTTTTAAAGTATTTTTAAACACTCTGCTTATTATGATAAACATATAAGCATGTTACAAACATGGGAATTTGAAAAGTTGTATTTAGTCTTGTTAAATCACTCAACTTTAGCCAACTCTAATATGGCTTATCTAAACTTTTAGCCCAAAAAAATTAAGTCTCGACTTGAAGATATACCTAAAACGAATTATTTGTTATTCGACTCGATTCGATACACAATTATTCGATTCGAAAATTCGAATAATATATTATTCGTCGAATAATTTTTTATCTATTATTGGATCGAATTATTCGATTAAAATAATAATATTGAAAAATAATCATATATTATTAATAGGAATTATATGCAATTATTCCTATTTAATAAAATTTTCAAGTGGAATAATGAAGAAACATTTTATATTTCAAAAATTATTGTTAACGGCTGTTTTTATTCGAATAACTTCATAATATAAAATTAACTTCCGAAAATTGTTTTATGATGGACGAAGAAAGTATTTTTTTTTATATGCAATTTATAACACATATACAATCATAATAAACTATTGGCCATCCCGACAAGAATGGCGGGCGAACCAGATATTTCTCCGTCGTTTGATGATGGAAAAATCATAAATTTTACTTTTTGCAAAAACTTTTTGTTTAAAAAATTTGTTTTTGGTATATTTGTCTTCTACATGTTATGAATATTATATTGATTTTACTACATTATATATAAAAATACTATATATATATATATATGCTTCTATATTATCTTACTAATAAAAATTGTTTGTCTTTTATCCATAGTTAAATTTTACAAAATAAATTTAATATTCTATCTTTTTTAATTTATGGTTAAATAAAATTTTCGAATTGAATCGAATAATCATTTTATTATTCGTATTTTTGTAGGTATACTTGAAGATTGAGACAATTTTTTAGACAAAAACTTAGTCTAAAAATTTGATTGAAGTGTCTGAACCAGCCTAAAGCATACTAGGTTCAAAATTTAGAGTTGGAAGTTGAACAGAATCCAAACCAGGTGATATTTTTTGGGCTCAATGCCCTGATTAGGATACAATAAACTCACTACTATGTTAAATTAGGAAGATAGCAACAAGATTTAGAATAATATTATTATACTAATTAAATTACTTAAAATCAGCGACTTTTTTCAATATTCTGATTTTGTATAAATATTCATTATTATTTCTACGACTTCATATATCAGGTGATGATGAGCAAAAGAAATTAATAAAATCAAAATGGTGTAGTGAAATATAAGATCTATTTTAAATAGTTTAACTATAATATCAATGGAAATATTTTATTTAAATAATGAAATATGGATATTATTACTAATCAGAGTAGGGTAGTACCGCAAATACCTTTATCTAAGAACAATATCCTTTTCTATAAAATATAGTTATATCCATGTCAAAGAGACTTTATTATCTAAAGAATATTGCATCTTTTCCTAGACAAAAAGATAGATATTTTTATTATGAAGTTTCAAAAGTCACTTTTAACCTTAGATTCTTACATTTAGTTTCGTTGGTTTTCTTTCCTATTTATCTTTAACTAAAATCTATAATTAACGAAGTGCATTGTAAACAAAATACTAAATTAGTAAAATATACAAGTATATTATGTGTTATCTCTTTATGATATTCTTAATAAGATATTTATATTTGTATCTAAGCTATATTTTTTATAAGGAATCTGTATCTAAGTTATATTTTTTATAATTAATCTGTATCTATTGAAATAATTTTACAATAAATTTTATTTTATCTAACGAAATATTGTAAAGATAATTATTTTTAATATGTTTTATATAATTCTAATATAGTGGGTGGGTGGAAAGAATTAAAAATTGAAGTGGGTCAATTTTTTTAATGTTGAGTCATGAAGATGAAGGTATTTCGGGTAAGTAATCTAGAGGGGTATGGGATCACTGAGCAATACATATTTAATAACTGCTCAAGTATGAAAAAAAGTCATATTCAAAGAAATACACAACATCATTATCATAAATGATAAAAATTAAAATTTTATTCCATAATAATCTTTAATAATTTAAAACTCTATAAGAATAAAATTTGAGTCAATATGATTTAAAACAATATAAAAAATATATCTGTTGTGGTTCATTGTTATATATCTGTATAAACATAACCATAATTTATAAATCAAAATTAATTTTTTTTTGCTATATTAAAATCTATTCATCTACTCCATAAAAAATATTGTAAATCATACACTAAAAACATAAAAATCAATCACAATATTATGCCCTATTTAAAAAAAACATGGTATAATATGATTTATGCAAAAAATTCATCCACTTATCTAAATAATATGTGTAAATTTTTTTTATAAAATTAAATAGTTTCACAACGGAACATGACTAAAGAGATACGAGACTGATTCACCGTTATGAGTTCTTCGGATAGATTCGGCTAGCATCATGGATATATCTATGCACTGGGGGTATCAAAAAATAAGAGAACAAATATAAAATACTATTTTTTAATTTCTTTATGGCAAAATTAAATTAGAAATTTAAATCATTTATTTCAATTCAAAAATAAACATTCCCAATATAATACTCTAGGTATAAATTAGGGCTGGGAACCAATAGTAAAAACCCAATATTAACAAAATATTGTATTGGTATTGGGTCTAAAATATTGGTATTGGTTTAAACAATATTTTCTATTTCTTGTATTGGTATTGCTATTGGTAACTATTGGTTTATATTGGTATTGGTTTAAATTCAAATTACTAATTAAAAGAATAGAAATAGTGATTATAATACCTTTAATTTCTAATTTTAAATAAATATGGGAAAAAAATCATGGTACCATAAAATCAGGGCTAAGAACCAACTCTCAAAATTTTACTGAATTCAAATTCTTTTTTTAAACTAGGAATTTATTAGGTGATGTGAATATAAAAAATTTTAATGATTATTTAATTTAAAATCATTATCAATATAATGAATTGTTATGCGCATAAAGGGTATTTTATTTGGAGAGGACCAAATGTCCATTGTTAAGGAAAATTTAGATGTAATGTTAGAAAGTACAGATTTTAAATTGATAAAAGAACTATGATAATGTTTCATAATTTCTATTTTTAGTGTTTTTCTAGAAACTAATGTTAGTGAAGGGTTACAATATGCTATTAAATTTTTAAAAGTGATATCCTCAACTATTGAAAAGGCTAAACTATTTTGAATGAAAAAGTTTATAATTAAATTATTTAAATTAGCTTTATTATTTATATTATTAAGTAAAAATGATTTTATTGTCTTCATTTTTTTACTGCCAATATTTATTTGCTCACATTTCTTATATAATGTTGGGTGGATGGATTTAAGATGTGTCCATAATCCTGAGGTTCCAAAATTGGGAAGTGATATTTTTTTTTTACATTTATTACAAATTGCCTTTTTTTTATTATCACAAGTAGTATAAAATTCCCAGAATTTCGTCTTATATTGATAATTCTTCTTGTTCATTATCGCTATTATTATTAGTACCAACAGCATCTATATTTATTAACTCTATTTGGTTCATTTATTATAATATTCTAAATAAATAGATAAAATTAAAAGATATCATGTAAAAAATTTACTTCCATAATAAAAATAAACTATAATTATAAATAACAGAAATATTGATATCACAGTAGTATTTGGAAGAAATAACAGATGTAATCAGTTTTTGCAATGAAAGTAAAAAAAAAATACCACGATATAATTATCCACGATAAACCCAAATATTATGTTATTTTTAATATTGGTATTGGTTAAAATTGTATTTAAACAATATATCAAAACCAATATATTTAGGTAATTGGTATTGGTTGTAAAAGCAATACCAATATTTAAATATATATTGGTTTATATTGGTATTGGTATTGTAAACCAATATTATATTGGTATTGGTCCCACCCCTAGTATAAATGTAATTTTCAATAATTTAAATATTGGTAAGTAAAATTGAATTAAAATTTGATCAAAAAATTATAATTCAAATATCTAATAATTTTAAAATCATGGAATGATAATTTTTTAAAGAGCTTTCCAGTAAAATCTAAATCATCACATAAAACTTAATTATGATATTAATTTTAGATGAAAATGTTTATACCAGGATTTAACAATTGCTCAAAATTCAAAAATCTTCAAAGATTTTTTGCTCAAAATTTTGAGCGAAAAAAATCTCAAATGCTCATTTGAATATTTTTGTTAAACCCTGGGTTTTAATCTAACCCTAATTTTAGAGCAAATTCTCATGTTATTTTCCTGAGGTATGGTATTGGTTACTGCTATAGTTTGCAATGCAGAGCATTCATTGATCCTGTTAAGCGCAGGGCCAGATAGAATTCCGTGGGTGCATATAGCATGTATGCTCTTGGCTCCGGCTTCCATTAATCTTTTATTAAAAAAAATTTAGACTTATCAAACTTATCCGTCTAAAAATGTACCCATTAAGATGTTCAAGTCAAAGTAATGAACATTAATATCATTTTTAAACAGATTAACTTTTGACGGGTAGACTATCTTCACTATGAAAGCCTAAATGCGCCTTAGTTAATCCAGGAAGGACACGTATAAATTATTCTTAATAATCAGGTTGGATAAATAAAAAGTATTTTTAATTATATTCTCCTAACTATTCATTTAGATTTAAATGTTTTGTCATTTCCCTCATTAAATTCAAATAGTAGTTTAATTAAAATCAGTAAAGTTTAAATTTCAGAGCACTAACTTGGCCAGATTCAAAAATATACATTTTTAAAGTTTTGAAAAATATTGCACAAATTGTGATTTTTTAATTAAATCTCATTTTTTTCAAATTTCGCTAGTCATAAATTATATATTATTTTGTAGCCCTTAAAATTTTACATAAAATTTTTAAATTTCCTTAAAAATTTGAGCAAGTAATATTATTTAGGTGCTGAAACTAGCTAGGAACGATGATTATTAACTTTTTGTATTTAATTGTTTAGTTTTTAAAAAAATAGCAGCTTTTCGTTTTTTAAATTTTTTAATATTTTCTAAATAAAAATTGCTTTTATAGATTTGTCTCTGTTTAAAAATAATCGTAATGCAGTTTTTTGTATACAATTATTGTACGAACCTATCCCTGATCATCCGAAAATATAATTAAAGAATTTATGAAAATATTGCGTGTGTACTTGTATTTACAATATAGAGGTACAAAAGCACTAAAAACGGAAAATTTGGTTAAGTTTTCATGGAAAGCAATAATTAAAAATATAAGCTGATATTAATATCTTTTACGTCAATTTTTGATGATATCAAAGGTGTTGTCAGTGACTATGATGATTTTCGGTCCGTCACGGTAGTCAACCCAGGAGATACATATATATTTGTTTTTTACATACCCATAGACCCATACTTCCTTTATCCCATAATTGGAGTTAAAGGTATGGCTGATCATTAATAAAATAATAATGGAAGTAGATACTGTAGCTAAGATAGGACGATTTATAATTTATCACTTCGAGAATATTTATCAAATGTGTAAGATAGAATTTGATATTTGTGACTCTAACAGATATTTTTGAAAAAAATGAGATTTAATGAAATCACAATTGGAATTTTAGACTTTAAAATATTATATTATTAAATCTGGTTGAGTCCGCGGTCTGAAATTTAAATAAAATATAAATGAATAACCATCAGGCCAAGTTTCGTTCATTTTAAAGAGGATTATAGAGAATCTCTTTTTTTAAATAAAAGAAATCAAAAAGACATTTTACCCCAATACTAATCAATAAAATAACCATTTTTCGATAAATAAAATGATTAAACTAAAATTGTAAATCATCAAAACATTCATTTTAAAAGATATGATATGCAATAAAGGTAAGTGGGCAACAGGCATCGGGCGAGCTCTAATGAAAACCTCTAATATGCAATGACAGAATAAAGAAAGTGATAACTTTTGAGTTGCGTGACACATGGTACCACACGTGTCTGCCATATCGTCGAGCAAAATGGCAGTGCGATCTTTAACGTCCCCTACGAGCACCATAGAAGCTATCTCGTTAGCCTTCTTGCGCTCCTTGTGGATTATGGCGAATTCCACATTCAGGCGGTCGGCTATCGATGTAACTCTGTGCATGAATAACAAATAGAATTTCAGGGATTATTATATTATCATTAATCCGCTATAAAATTTTAATATTTTAAGATCATATTATAATATATATGGTGTATATTTTAAGATATATTATTACTCAATTGATATCATTTTCAGATTCTATAGATAATGAATAGCAAAATGTGAAATTATCAAATAAACACCAAACCTTTTAGCCCCGCCAGCATCGGGTGAGACGATACAACATTCTTGATAATTGGGAATATTCTCTTTTATCCACTTAAGAATGGGAGGCTCGGCATAAAGATTGTCGACTGGAATGTCAAAGAATCCCTGAATTTGAGAAGCGTGCAGGTCCATGGTTATAATATGATCGGTCCCAGCAACAGATAACATATTGGCTATCAACTTAGCGGTAATAGGGGCCCGGCTCTGAATGGTATGAATTAATAAAAAAGTTTATATTCATTTCGTTGTTCTGCTCGAAAAAAATATTTATTTCTTTATCGTGTTTAGTTAGGGCATCAATTTTTTTGAGGCATTGGAATTATTAGATTTAAAAAATATATACATGGCCAATAATTTCAAAAAAAAAATCGGTCCGATATTTATATTGTTTTTGGTTATTTTCAGAAACCTGCAGGCCAGGTGGCCGTATATTTTAAAACTAAAAAGTCGTCATTATTAGCTATAAAAATTAATCTAATATATTTTAAAATAATCCTGGCCTGGCCTAAAAATATAAACATAATAGCAAGGAATTAAATGAATGAAAATCTTAAGAAGTCTAATAATATATAAATAATGTGTTTACAAATTACCATTGGAAGCCAAGAAAAAAACGGTTAAATGTCATTTCGAGAATGTATTCTGTTCATCCTAATTCTGGTGAACGATTTTTCCTTCGATTATTACTACTTAATATTTGCGGGGCTACGAGTTTTGATAATTTAAAAACTGTTAATGAAATTTTAATGAGTACTTTTAAAGAAGCAGCTATTAAAAGAAATTTGTTATCAGATGATAAAGAGTGGGAATCATGCTTAGAAGAGGGATCAGTTTATCAAATGCCATCACAACTTCGTAGTACTTTTGCCTTTATCTTCATTTTTGTCAGCCTGATAATCCTGCTTATCTTTAGAATAAATTCAGATTTAATATGATTGAAGATTATTAACGTCAATATTCAGAAGTAATTGCAATAAACATGGCTTTAATGGACATTGAAAACGTTTTTCTTGATCATGGTTTATGTTGTAAAAGTTTTGATCTTCCTTCACCTACAAAAATTCCCCAAAAACAACATCACGATGCTCATGTTGAAGCTGCCGATTCAATCGAGCATATATCGAAATTAAACCGATTACAAAAATATGCTTTTGACTTAATTATACAAGCGATTAAATTAGAAAATATTTCAGAAAAATATTTCTTCTTGGATGGCCCTGGTTGTTCAGGAAAAACCTATCTTTACAATACCTTAATGTGTTATATAAGAGCAAATAATCAAATTGTATTACCTTTTGCAACAACTGGAATATCCTCTATTCTTTTAAAGGGAGGAAGAACCATCCATAGCGGATTTAAATTACCTGTGCCTATCTTTGAAACCTCTACATCCCATATGAATTTACATAGTTCGCAAGCATTAAATCTAAAAAATAGCAAATTGACATTATTGATGAGGCCACAATGATGACTAAACACGCTATGCGATACATTGACCAATTACTTAAAGACATAATGCAAAATTCCCACCCATTTGGAGAAAAAGTTATTTTATTAGGTGGTGATTTTAGACAGACTTTACCAGTAGTGCCTAAAGGCTCCAAAGTCGATATTATAGAGTCGTGTATAAAAAGTTCAGATTTATGGAGTCATTTTAAAATAATACATTTGATTGATAATATGCGTATTCCATCAGAGCAAGTTGATTACAATGCTTGGTTACTTAAAATAGGAGAAGGCCTTTCAAGCAATAATTCTGATCTTCCTAGGAATAGTGTTGAAATCTCTCCTTATTTGCTTGAAAATGATTCATTAATAATGTATATATGGTAATTCTATCGAAATTGCTGATATAGATAATCTTTCTACTAAAATAATATTAACCAGCAAAAATAAAATTGCACTTACCCTCAACAACGACATCATTAATATAATTTCAGGCCCTATCAAACATTATTATAGTGCTGATTCCATTGAAAGCGATAATCAGGATTATATAATGAATTTTCCAATAGAATTTTTGCATTCACAAACTCCATCCGGTATGCCACCTCACAAGCTAACATTAAGGTTGGAGCAATTGTTAAGCTTTTACGCAACTTTAATTTTATCGATGCTGAGGTATTGACAGGCACTAATAAAGGTCGAGTTTTTCTCCCACGGATAGATCGAACTCCAAGTGACTCTCAGTTGCCATTTATTTTAAAAAGACGCCAGTTTCCTATAATTCCCGCTTTTGTGATTACAATAAATATAAGTCAAGGACAAACTTTTGAACATGTAGGCTTATTTCTCCCTGAGCCCGTCTTTGCCCATGGGCAATTATATGTAGCGCTTACTAGATGTAAATCTCAATATAATATGAAAATCATAATTTTGCCATCAGAATTACAAGGAAAAATTTTAAAAAATGATAAAACATTCACACAAAATATCGTATATAATGAAATCTTGAAATGATAATTTGTAAGATACACAACAAATCAACTTTTGTTATTCAACAACTTCATCATCAACAACAGTAGATTTTATTTTATAATTTCTATTTACACGCTCTATTTCAGGTTATTTATAGCAAGAAATCAAAAACCACACCGCATAGAGCAAAGACTTCATCATCAACAACAGTATATTCCATTTTATAATTTATATTTTCACGCTTTATTTCAGGTTATTTCGAGCAAGAATCAAAAACCACACGACATAGAGCAAAGAAAGCTTCCTCACCCTCAAAGGCACGACACCATCTTCATCATCAACAACAGTATATTCCATTTTATAATTTATATTTTCACGCTCTATTTCAGGTTATTTAGAGCAAGGAATCAAAAACCACACCGCATAGAGCAAAGACTTCATCATCAACAACAGTATATTCCATTTTATAATTTATATTTTCACGCTTTATATCAGGTTATTTCGAGCAAGAATCAAAAACCACACGACATAGAGCAAAGAAAGCTTCCTCACCCTCAAAGGCACGACACCATCTTCATCATCAACAACAGTATATTCCATTTTATAATTTATATTTTCACGCTCTATTTCAGGTTATTTAGAGCAAGGAATCAAAAACCACACCGCATAGAGCAAAGACTTCATCATCAACAACAGTATATTCCATTTTATAATTTATATTTTCACGCTTTATATCAGGTTTTTTCGAGCAAGAATCAAAAACCACACGACATAGAGCAAAGAAAGCTTCCTCACCCTCAAAGGCACGACACCATCTTCATCATCAACAACAGTATATTCCATTTTATAATTTATATTTTCACGCTCTATTTCAGGTTATTTATAGCAAGAAATCAAAAACCACACCGCATAGAGCAAAGACTTCATCATAAACAACAGTATATTCCATTTTATAATTTATATTTTCACGCTTTATTTCAGGTTATTTCGAGCAAGAATCAAAAACCACACGACATAGAGCAAAGAAAGCTTCCTCACCCTCAAAGGCACGACACCATCTTCATCATCAACAACAGTATATTCCATTTTATAATTTATATTTTCACGCTCTATTTCAGGTTATTTAGAGCAAGGAATCAAAAACCACACCGCATAGAGCAAAGACTTCATCATCAACAACAGTATATTCCATTTTATAATTTATATTTTCACGCTTTATATCAGGTTATTTCGAGCAAGAATCAAAAACCACACGACATAGAGCAAAGAAAGCTTCCTCACCCTCAAAGGCACGACACCATCTTCATCATCAACAACAGTATATTCCATTTTATAATTTATATTTTCACGCTTCTATTTCAGGTTATTTATAGCAAGAAATCAAAAACCACACCGCATAGAGCAAAGACTTCATCATCAACAACAGTATATTCCATTTTATAATTTATATTTTCACGCTTTATTTCAGGTTATTTCGAGCAAGAATCAAAAACCACACGACATAGAGCAAAGAAAGCTTCCTCACCCTCAAAGGCACGACACCATCTTCATCATCAACAACAGTATATTCCATTTTATAATTTATATTTTCACGCTCTATTTCAGGTTATTTAGAGCAAGGAATCAAAAACCACACCGCATAGAGCAAAGACTTCATCATCAACAACAGTATATTCCATTTTATAATTTATATTTTCACGCTTTATATCAGGTTATTTAGAGCAACGAATCAAAAACCACACCACATAGAGCAAAGAAAGCTTCCTCACCCTCAAAGACACGACACCATCTTCATCATCAACAACAGTATATTCCATTTTATAATTTATATTTTCACGCTCTCAGGTTATTTAGAGCAAGGAATCAAAAACCACACCGCATAGAGCAAAGACTTCATCATCAACAACAGTATATTCCATTTTATAATTTATATTTTCACGCTTTATATCAGGTTATTTAGAGCAACGAATCAAAAACCACACCACATAGAGCAAAGAAAGCTTCCTCACCCTCAAAGACACGACACCATCTTCATCATCAACAACAGTATATTCCATTTTATAATTTATATTTACACGCTCTATTTCAGGTTATTTAGAGCGAGGAATCAAAAACCACACCGCATAGAGCAAAGACTTCATCATCAAGAACAGTATATTCCATTTTATAATTTATATTTTCACACTTTATTTCAGGCTATTTACGACAAGATAGGAGCAAACCTAAAAAATTATCAAATATAAGGCAATATACGGTTAAAGAAATTTTAGATATTATAAATTTTATTATATTATATTTTTTTATATGGCGACAAATGCATATGTGTTGGAACCCGATAATCGTCAAGTCTTAAAGTATAAGCAATTATTATATTTTCTTATAATTCATATCTTTATCTCTTTTTTTTATTTCTTCCTTATTCATTCTTTTTTTCATTTCTTTGCTCCCCTAAAATCCATCTCCTACCTTCATGCGGGGGGGAGTGAACAGCAATGCTGACTAACAGGAGTTCTGGTGGATAATGTTGGTATTTGGGATACTAATAAGTAACATTGTTTCCGTGTAATCTTAAATATTGGCTGAAAATAAGATAGAAATTTTTATTATTCATCCACAGGGGTTCGAACCGAACCGCAAAACCGGAATGAACCGTTATGATTTTCTGAACCGTTATGAAGAAAATATTAAAAGAGCGAACCGAACCGTTATAAATATTTTGAACCGGTTTTAAAAATAATTAATTTTAAATTATTAACCTAAATTTAAAATTTTAATTTTCCTTGGGG